TCACCTGAGGATATTTTTTCCATTGATTTTTTTTGAGAGAGTGGGAGTGAGGGCAGGGGAAAGAGGGAGAAACACTGATATGACAAAGACATGTTGACTGGGTGCCTCTGCAGGTGCTCCAACCAAGGCCGGGGATGGAATTTGCAACCCATGTACATGCCTTGACAGGGAATTGAACCAGAGACCCTTCGGTGCACAGGCCAACACTCTAACCCCTGAACAACATTAGCCAGGGCTGTACCACAACTTTTTTTATCCACTGCTCAACTGATGGACACAGGTTGCATATTTTGGCTATTGTGAATAATGCTGCAATGAACACAGAAGTACATATATTCTAAATGGCTATTTAAAAAAGGTTTTAAATAACTCACAGCCAGATTATTGCTATGGTTAGGTGAACTAAGGGTGGAGATTACAGAAACTCCCAAGACACTTGTGGCCTTTCCCCTAATGACAACTTTTATTCAAATGAGCTTTAATTTATGGAATGCTAATGTGTGAAAAAAGGTAAAAGAACAATGATAATATAGAAAAATTTTATGACAACACAAAGTGTTTTGTTTTAAATATATTTTTGTTGATTTCAGACAGGGAGGGAGAGAGAGAGAGAGATGGAAACATCAACAATGAAAGAGAATCATTGATCGGCTGCCTCTTGCATGGCCCACACTGGGGATCGAGCCCGCAACCCAGGCATATACCCTGACTGGAGATCGAACTGTGACCTCCTGGTTCATAGGTTGACACTCAACCAATGAGCCACATCAGCCAGGCTTATTACTGCTTTTTAAATTGTTAGAAACACTGGGATTTAAAAGGAGTAGAAATACTCCTTTAAAAGTTACATTTCCTTAGAATTGGGAAAACAATATTTGTACTTGATTCCTAATCCAATGCCCCCCTGAAATTAGGAAATGTATAAAATGCTGTCATCTCCCCAATTACATTGTCCTAGACATGGTTTGTATAACTAGCATATGCAAATGGTATCTTCCCTATAAGATGATTATTATCTACTAGAGGCCCAGTGCACGCATTTGTGCACCGGTAGGGTCCCTTGGTGCACGATGGGGGCTGGGGAGGGACCACAGGAAGGCTCCAAGGTGTGTCTGGCCCGTCTAGCCTAATCCTAATCAGCCAGACCCCAGCAGCAAGCTAACCTACCGGTCAGAGCGTCTGCCACCTGGTGGTCACTGTGTGTCATAGTGACTGGTCGAATGAACAATTGGACACTTTGCATATTAGGCTTTATTATATAGGGTGGTTCAAAATAATACAAACTAACACTTACCTGGTATTTATTATACACAAAGCACTATTCTAAGTAGTTTAATCCTCACAATACCCCTATAAAGTAGATACTATTATTATTCCCATTTACAGATGATGAAACTAAGACTTATAGGTAATTCTTTCCTAGAATTACTTCCCTAGAATCACTTAGATTAAATTTCAAACACTGGCTAAACTAGTGATACATGAATTCTAATCAATTTACACTTAGAAAAAATTGTTTAAAAGCAATGCAAAGCTTTCATATGAAAAATAAAGTCAATTTTGCCCTGGCTGGTGTGACTCAGTGGTTGAATGTCTTCCCGTGCACCAAAGGGTTGCCAGTTTGATTCCTGGTCAAGGCACACGCCCAGGTTTCGGGTTTGGTCCCTTTCATGGTGAGTACAGGAGGCAATTGATAGATGTTTCTCTCTCATATCAATGTTTCTCTCTCTCTTTCTCAAAAAAAAAAACCACAAAAAGCCCAATAAAAATATATTTAAAATATATATAAAGTCAGTTTTTCCCAACTACAATACATTTTCTTATAGGCAAAGGGAACAATAAAACACTCACACTTGAGTGTCTCTGATAGTTCCCCAAACTAGGAAGCAGGTGAAAAAAAGACAAATTCTACCTCTTTACTCCACTCTCAGATACCTGTTTTTATTCTTCTAAACTTTTATATTATGCTAAAATTAATGCTTTAAAAATCAACTCTGCAATAATATTGTAATAACTATGTATGGTGTCACTAGACTTATTGGGGTAATTGTACCATCCTATCTAATAAATAGGGAATATGCAAATTGACCATATTCACACCATAACAAAACAGCTGCACCCACAGCAGGTATTCCGTAACACAAGATGGCTGCACCCACAGCAGAGGCCGAGTTCCCGTAATGAGCCTTCAACGAGCAATCAGCAGGCACCTGAGGCTGCATGGCGCTGGGCCAGGGCAGGGGACCTGAGGCTGTGCCCCCAACCTGGTGGGGCTTGACAGGGTATCTCAGGCCATGCCCCCCCACCCTGGCTCTGGGCCAGGTGACCTGAGGCTGCGCCCTCCCACCCTGGCTCTGGGCCAGGTGACCTGAGGCTGCGCCCCCAACCTGGAGGGGCTTGACGGGGGTGAGGCCGGCAGGGTCTCCGTCTCACGCCATTTGGAGGTGCACGCGGGTGGGCGGGGCCTTGACTGTGGGTCCCGAGGCGTGCCCCAGACTCTGACAGGAAAAAGATTTTCATATACATTTTACTAATTTTCTTTCATCTCTGACACTTCTATTATAGAGAAAGGGCAAATAGCAATACAGTGGGACCTTGACTTACGAGTTTAATTCGTTCCGAGACTGAGCTCGTTAAGGAGCCCATTAACTCAAATTACTCTATCAACTCAATGCAAAAAATTGGCTGAGAGACAGCTGGTATCTCAAAAAACTCTTTAGTTGGGACACTCGTAAGTCAAGGCCCCACTGTATTAAAATATTTCCTCTAATTAATTCCCTTTTAATGTGCATGAATTTCATGCACCAGGTCACTAGTAAGTTAATAACTGCCTAGTCTGTTATATACCTAAAACTAATATATTGTATGTCAATTGTAATTGAAAAATTAAAAAAATATTTTAAAAAATAAAATAAAAATCAACTCTGCTGATGGGCACTAACTGAATAAACTGATGGCTTAACTCTCATGGAGGAGAAATTGTGTAGCAAGCTGGGGGATAATGCTCCTGGAATTATAAAAAATGCTTTAAGTTAATTTACCCAAATGTAATCCATTCATGCATGTATAAAGGCCCAATTCCTGTCCTCTACAAGGCCAGCCCACAAGGCTTCCCTGAGTCCTGCAGGTAGGTGTTACACAATTTCAGTTACCCTATGTCCTGATGCTAATCCTAACTCTTGTGGATTTATCTCCACCACCAAGTTGTGGGCATGTTTTGTCACCATCTGCTTTGAGTACCTAGCACAGTACTGAATATAGACATTGCAAAAATTCAGTAAGAACCTGCTTCATTGGTACTAGTTGTGGTTAAGACTTTCCTTCAAGCTTGCTTCATTTTTTGGCAACTAGGAAAACAGCTCTTACAGGAGTACTTAGTTCTGTGTGTTCACAAGTTACACAGTAAAATAACCCAGAATCCTATGGCATCCAGGCTCCTATCATTGGTCAAATGCAAATAAACCAGAATGGGATTACTGCTCCCTTTATCTTGAGGCAAAAATCGCTTTTTCCCACCCCCACTATGCTTTATACTTCCTCATTAATGTGACTTTTTACTTTAAGCACAAATGCTTTAACCCTGGTGTCACCTTAGTCCTAACATAGGGGTATAGGCCCGAAATGTAATAAAATGCTTGCTAAATACAAACTGTTTATATTTCTACTCTTGGAGTTAGAGTGCCATAAGTAGACTATACGGTAAAGTGGCCAAATTCTGCACATTATAAATAACTACTTTCCATCATTCATCCAAAATCATGAAAAGGACAGCACTGGGATGTGGTGAGCTCATCATCATTAGCCTTTATGGAGAAGCATAATGGCCATACATTAGGGGATACTGAAAGCAGTAAACCACTCAGACAAGGGCTGGGACTATGTAACATTCCTTCCAACTTGAAGGTTCTAGAAAGTTGAATTTGTCAGAAAGCAGTGGACGGCATTTAAGTTATCTCAGGTCACCACTGCCTGAGTAATTCTGCAGTTTCCCCCAGCATGCTCCAATATTACCTGCATACGGGCCACTGAATTACTTACTGGCCACCTCATTATCAAAAACAAGGGAGCATGAAGAGACAACACTCAGATGCTTATATAACTCGTGTAAAACACAAGTCATAATGTATTACTGAGAAGAGACAATATTATACGTATCATTAAGGACTACACAAACGTATGTGATGGTGTTTTACAGAGCTTCTGAATCCCCAAAGGCCCGGTGCCCTTTGTTCAGGTTAATGACGAAGAGACTGCACTATAAAAAAAAAATCAGCTCTTAATACAAATTCACACTGAGATTTTTGGGGCACATCCAATTTCCATAGCGACTGCATAAAGTACACCGGCACAGCAGAAATCAACATATCCGAGCCCGGGGACAGCTAGCATCCTCCGTGTAAGTAAAAACGGGTGGTCCCAGTATCCATGCTTTTCCTCCGCAAGTTCAGCATAGGTCTTACACCCTCAGACCCCTGATTATTTCAAGGCCTCCTGTCACCCGTACACGTATTTCCACGTCTTACTATAGAAGCTGGCTTTCTGCGTTTCTTTTCCCAGCTGTGGCAAGTATTTGTGATTTCCCAAAGATGTGAGTGGTTTTAAGCCCATGCCCAGGGACGTTACGGTAAGGGATTGTATTTTCTACAGGGTCTACCCCGAGTTCCTGAATGGGAGGCTGGCGAGAGGGAAGACCGGGGAGTTCGGGGGCTCCCCTTAGCAGGGAGCGGAGAAAGGAGCGGTGTCTGTGTTCCCCGGGTAATCGCGACTCCCGCCTTTGAGGCGAAGAACCGTCCGCCAAGAGCCAGAACCCCGACCCGGGGAGCCGTGGCTGGACGAGCAGGTTCTCCAGCTCCCGAGCCCGAAGCTCAGTGCTGGAGGCTGCCCGGGATCCCCGCAACCTCCGGGCACCCCAGCCCCAGACTTCGGCGACATCTGCCCTCGGTCGTCCCGAAGCCAGCCGGAGGCGCCCGGCCGCGTTCCCACCCCCTGCCCCAACTCACAGCCAGTCTCCTTCTTAATCTCTTCCAGCTCTTCGTCCCGCAGTAACGTGGAAGCGCGAGACCCCATCGCCGAGCCGGAAACTCCTCCGCGAGCAGGAGCTCCTGAAGCGACGGCGGAAGCGGGAGGGAAAGAGGGAAGAGAGAAAGGGCCAGGGGTCAAGAAGGAAGAGGGCAGTGTTTCCACAGCGGACTGGGGAGGGTACCCAAGGGTGGTGCGCGGGCGAGGGCGTCCCCGAGGGCGGCCAATGAGGAGCGAGGCTGCGCCGGGCGCAGGAGACGACGTCGGCGCTCCCGGCTCCAGCCCCCGAATGAATCACCTCAGCACCCAGCCGGGTCTAGCTGGAAACGGACCCGCCCCCGGAACTGTGACGCAACAGTCCTTAAAAGGGCAATGCCACTCTGGCTCTAGCGACCGCAATTAAAGGGGCAACGCCATTTTACTCGTTTGACAAGCTGACCTGCGACAGGTTTCTCACAGAACTCTAACATAGAAATCCCCACCCTACGGATGGCACAGAGAAACCATAGAGACAGAAAGACAAATGCTCGCTTGGGGGACCTCTAGGGTGTCTCCTGGGAACGGCTTGCTGGGAGTTGCGCTTCCTCATTTTCCAAGGCGGCCCTCTCTCCTCCTGGCCGCTGGGGGCGCTCTGCAATCGGCCTCGGGGCCGCGCGCTGATTGACTCCCGAGGAACAGCCGGGCCTCTGGTCGGCTCCGGCCGGAGGCCAACGGTAGCGTCCTTTTCTCGGGTCTCAGGTAACCGGCGCCGCGGGCTGGGAGCGGCCGAGAGTTCTTCCGTAATAGCAGCCCGTTTTCACAGCTCCAGGAACTCACCATTTGGCGAAAATTGGGACCGAATTTCCCAAACTTCCTTTGGCTAGAAACCCCTACCGACAAAGAAGAGTGAATTCCTAGCGTATGGCTCGCCTTTTCTTTGAAATTTGTTATTTTTTCTTAAAAACGAGAAATTTTGGATTTAATTCTTGTTTGTCACCCTCGCCCGAGGATATATTTACAGTATAACCGAAAAAAATGTATGCACATTTGGAATAATTACAAAGGCAATGTTTATTAAAGTACATTTTCAAAATTGAGCTATCAGCTCTTAAAGTGTGTGTACATTTTGGGGGGGGACACCCTGTATTATTTTTTGATTTTTTTAAATTAGATCTTTATTGTTCAAATTATTACATTTGTTCCTCTTTTTTCCCCCCATAACTCCCCTCCACCTAGTTCCCACCCCACCCTCCTCCCTCACTCCCCACCCACTGTCCTCATCCATAGGTGCATGATTTTTTTTATCTTTTATTTTTTTAATTAAATCTTTATTGTTCAGATTATTACATTTGTTCCTCTTTTTTCCCCCCATAACTCCCCTCCACCCAGTTCCCACCCCACCCTCTTCCCTCACTCCCCACCCACTGTCCTCATCCATAGGTGCACGATTTTTGTCCAGTCTCTTCCCGCATCTCCCACACCCCTTTCCCCCCCCCCAAGAATAGCCAGTCCACTCCCTTTCTATGCCCCTGATTCTATTATAATCACCAGTTCATTCTGTTCATCAGATTATTTATTCACTTAATTTTTAGATTCACTTGTTGATAGATGTGTATTTGTTGTTCATAATTTGTATCTTTACCTTTTTCTTCCTCTTCCTCTTCTTAAAGGATACCTTTCAGCATTTCATATAATCCTGGTTTGGTGGTGATGAACTCCTTTAGCTTTTTCTTATCTGTGAAGCTCTTTATCTGACCTTCAGTTCTGAATGATAGCTTTGCTGGGTAAAGTAATCTTGGTTGTAGGTTCTTGGCATTCATCACTTTGAATATTTCTTGCCACTCCCTTCTGGCCTGCAAAGTTTCTGTTGAGAAATCAGCTGACAGTCATATGGGTACTCCCTTGTAGGTAACTGACTTTCTTTCTCTTGCTGCTTTTAAGATACTCTCTTTGTCTTTTGCTCTTGGCATTTTAATTATGATGTGTCTTGGTGTGGTCCTCTTTGGATTCCTTTTGTTTGGGGTTCTCTGCACTTCCTGGACTTGGAAGTCTATTTCTTTCACCAGGTAGGGGAAGTTTTCTGTCATTATTTCTTCAAATAGGTTTTCAATATCTTGCTCTCTCTCCTCTTCTGGCACCCCTATAATTTGGATGTTGGTACGCTTGAAGCTGTCCCAGAGGCTCCTTACACTATCTTTGTATTTTTGGATTCTTTTTTCATTTTGCTTTTCCGGTTGGGTGTTTTTTGCTTCTTCGTATTTCAAATTGTTGACTTGATTCTTGCGATCCTCTAGTCTGCTGTTAGGAGTCTGTATAATATCCTCCATTTCAGTCAGTGTATGCTTAATTTCCAGTTGGTCCTTTATCATAACCTCAAGGGTCTGACTAGATTTCTTGAGGGTCTTACTAAATTTATCGGCGGCTTCTAGAAAGTTCTTGAAAAACCTTATAACCGTGGTTTTGAACTCTATATTCAGTTGTTTGCTTTCTTCCATTTCTGTCATTTGTGTCCTATTTCTTTGTCTCCGCATTTTTTATGCTTCCCTGTGTTGATGGAGTGGCTTTCTGTGCTAGGTGTCCTATAGGGCTCAGTGGCTCAGCCTCCCCAATTACCTGAGGTGGACACTCTTGGTGCACCCCCTTGTGGTCTTTGTGCACAGTCTTGTTGTAGTTAAGCCTTGATTGTTGTAGGTATCACTGGGAGGAATTGACCTCCAGGCCAATTGGCTGTGAGAATCAGCTGTGTCTAGACTGGGAGAACTTCTGTGCTGGAGACACCCCTCCGGGGCAAGACTTGCTTCAGTGGGGCTTTGGTGCTCACTGAGTCTGCCCCCTGAGTGTGTCCCTTATGGGTCTGAGGAGCTGCAAACTGGATGGTCCCACTCTGACCACTGGGCACACTGGCTCTTGGATCTTTCAGGAGGTGCTAACCTAGCCTTTGCCTGAGGCTACTCAGCAGGAGCTCAGCTGTGAAGGAATGCAAGTTGCCCTAGGGCCTTGGGCCAGCTGCAAGTTTGTTAGGTAATTTTCAGATTGCAAAAGCCTCCATGCACAGCAAACAGCTATGGCTGATCGTCAGTCCTTCCCTAAGAGGCCCCGAATCTCAGTGTCCGGGTAATTGCTGCAAGCACCTCTGGGAGAAAGCCATCCTCGAGATGCAAACGATGCCAGACAGTCTAGCCCAGGAGTGGGCAAACTTTTTGACTCGAGGGCCACAATGGGTTCTTAAACTGGGCCGGAGGGCCGGAACAAAAGCATGGATGGAGTGTTTGTGTGAACTAATATAAATTCAAAGTAAACATCATTACATAAAAGGGTATGGTCTTTTTTTTTTTTTAGTTTTATTCATTTCAAACGGTCCAGATCCGGCCCGCGGGCCGTAGTTTGCCCACGGCTGGTCTAGCCTCTCCCCGTATCAGTCAGGGTCCCCAGAGATTCGCCCGGAACTGGAGTTCAGAGCAGTTGGGAGCTTGAGACTCCCTCCCAATTGAAAAAGCCAACCGTGTCCTCAGCTGCCAGCCCTTTCTGCATCCGCCTCCGTACCTCTGCACTTAACTTCCACACCGCAGCTCCTCTGAGTCTCAGTGTGCTTTTCTCTTTCCTTCTAATTGTAGAATTTCCACTCAGCCAGCCTTCCTGTGGTTCTGGAAGATGCCCGTTCTGTCTTTTAGTTGTATTCTTGAAGTGGTTGTGCGAGGCAGCAATCTCTGGTGTTTACCTATGCCGCCATCTTGGTTTCTCTCCTATTTTTTGATTTTAGAGAGAGGAAGGGAGAGAAAGAAACATTTACCCATCGCCTCCCTACGCGCCCCACTGGGGACAGACCCGGACCTGGGTGTGTTCCCTGCGGGGATGGCACCTGCCGCCTCTGTTACCCCGCCTTTCTGCGGAAGGGACCACCAGCCAAGCAGCTGAGCCACGCGGGCCAGGGCTGCAGTTTATTCTCATAGCATGTGTGTGTTTTCTTGAAAACAGATGCACCCGGTAAATGAGTACAGGCTCTCGGGTGAACTGGTCCTTGGCCTGTTACGTCAGTGCCTTGAGCCCTCCTCCCTGCCCCTCCAGTGCGGGTTTGTGTGGAACTGGTTAGAGACCGTTAGACCAGTGGTTCTACAGTGGGGCCACAACATTAGTAACAAAGAAACAGCATTTCCAGAGGATGAGGCCCAGAAATCAGGATTTTAAAAAGATTCCCAGGTGATTCTAATGTGCAGCCAAGGTTGAGAACCACTGGGTTAGACTCTAACCGTTAGAGCAGCGGTTCTCAACCTGTGGGTCGTGACCCCTTTGGTGGGCGAACGACCCTTTCACAGGGGTCGCCTAAGACCATCCTGCATATCAGATATTTACATTACGATTCATAACAGTAGCAACATTACAGTTATGAAGTAGCAACGAAAATAATTTTATGGTTAGGTCACAACATGAGGAACTGTATATAGAGGGCCAGAAGGTTGAGAACCACTGGGTTTGAGCAATGGTTAGAACAAATTCTGCCCTCCATCACTGAGTACCTGAGCACCCCGGGACTCGGCAAGCTGCATGAGTCAGCTTGGCTCACTAGTTTTAAGCTTCATCAAAGGCTCTGACAGCTTAGCAGGAGACCGAGAGAGGTCCCATTCTCCCTGAATTGTTTTCAGGACTGATTTGCTCTTGTCCGCAGTGAGGTCTGCCTTTGTATGCAGAGGGTGATCTTTTGGATTTGCCGGTCTGGAAGCCATGGGAGCTTCTTAATCTTGTAAGTGTAGGTGTGATAGGAAAGACTTGATGCCAGCCAAGTGAATGTCCCTTTTCCGACTCTGCCCTGAAGCCCATCTCTGGATTTTGACCTTAGTTTTTCCTTCCTAATCTTGAATCTACCGTTTGCAGCTCTCCTCTGTGAGAACTTTCTTTATGTTAATGTTTTTTTCTTACTTTAATGTTTCTTAAGCTTCCTTACACTCCAAGCATTTCACAAACTTTTATTTCTTATGTATCATTTAAGAATATGAATTAATTTTTTTGCCTCTATTAAGAGCTGTTTTTTTTCCAGTTTAATGCCCTTTTTTTGTGTCTGTAAAAATTCCCCTTTTGCCTGTTTGGATTGCCTTGAACAATGAAGAATGATTTTTCTCAGACACTCTGGTGACATGTTTTCTCTGGATGCTTTACACCTGGCCTTGCCCTACATATGCTCTTCACTAAGGGCCTGGTTTTAGTTCAGGCTCCATTATCTTCTAAATGTGTGCCTTTGGGCAGGTGTTTTAAATCTTTAAGCCTTAGTTTCTGCATGTGTAAATTAGGTAATGGTTGTTGTAGGCAACAAATAAAATTTGTGAAAGTACTTGCTACACCTTAAAATATAAAAATATAGGTAATTTATCTGGCTAAAATTGCTATGTATCTTCTCACCTTCTTCCTAGTTGAATTATGCCTTAATTATTCCATCAATGTTTTATTTTATTGTTAAACTAGAGGCCCGGTGCACGACATTTGTGCATGGGTGGGGTACCTCGGCCTGGCCAGAGATCGAGGCCGATCGGGGCCGATCAGGGCCAGCTGGGGGAGGTTGGCTGTGGGAGTGCACTGACCACGAGGGGGTAGCTCCTGTGTTGAGCGTCTTTCCACTGGTGGTCAGTGCACATCATAGTGACCGGTCGTAAAGGTCGCTTAGGCTTTCATATATATAAACTAGAGGCCTGATGCATGAAAATTCATGCAAGAGTAGGCCTTCCTTCCCCCAGCTGCTGGCAATGGCTTCCCTCTGGCATCTGGGACCCAGGCTTCCCTCCTCTGGCCGCCCACAGGCACCTGGGACCCCGGCTGGCTTCCCTCCAACCCTGGCTTTATCAGGAAGGATGTCCGTAGTGATGTCCGTAGGACATCTGGTCAAATTAGTATATTACCTTTTTTTAATCATATAAATAGGTTGCAAATTCACTGGTTCACTGTTTGTAGTGTGGCAAAGGCAAGCAGCATTTATTTATTTATTTATTTATTTATTTTGTTGTTAATTCTCACGTGAGGATATTTTTCCATTGATTTTTAGAGAGAGTGGAAAGAAGGGGGAGAGACAGAGACAGAGAAACATCCATGTGAGACACACACATTGGTAAAGGCAATCAGCTTTTCAATTTAAACCACCATAGAGGAAAATTTATCTGGGATTCTAAAAATAAGGACATTCAAACAGTAGGATTGTTCTAAAAGATACTATTAAAAAAAGATTCATCTTTTAAATTACAGTATTTCACTTAAGAATATGAGTATCTACTATGGCTAATAGTTATTTCTAAAAGGTAAAGTTTTTTTGTACATTTCTGCATTATCATTTATAATGAGCATGCATCACCTTCACAAAAACAGTTGACTTTTACAAAACTAGTGTATGGCATTTGGCAGTTTAATCTGTTAGGCCAGTGGTCCGCAAACCGCGGCTCGAGAGCCACATGCGGCTCTTTGGCCCCTTGAGTGTGGCTCTTCCACAAAATACCACATGCGGGCACACATGTACAGTGCGATTGAAACTTCATGGCCTATGCACAGAAGTCGGTTTTCAGAAAGGAGATAGACTAAACAAATATACAAGACGAGTGCGGATGGGAGAGTTGGAAGGGGTCGACCTCAGCAAATATACCTAAATCAGATTGAGGACTTTTTTGGCAAAGGCCAGCTTAGGAGTACCCTAATTAAGTTAATAACAATGTACCTACCTATATAGTTTAAGTTTAAAAAATTTGGCTCTCAAAAGAAATTTCAATCGTTGTACTGTTGATATTTGGCTCTGTTGACTAATGAGTTTGCTGACCACTGTGTTAGGCTGCAAATGACTGGTTGGTGATACTACAGCAGCCCAGTGACTGAATTGTGGACAGAGTGGGATCGAATGGCCCTTGCAGTGAAATGGCAGCTGGAGTGGTAATGAATAAATTGTGATAGTTTTAAATCACTTATATTTTGGTTGGTTAAAAATGTCAAACTCTGGCCTAGCTGGTGTGTCTCAATGGTTGAGCATCAACCTATGAACCAGGAGGTCACGAGTCGATTCCCAGTTAGGGCACATGCTTGGGTTGTGGGCTTGATCCCCAGTGTGGGGTGTGTAGGAGGCAGCCAATCAATGATTCTCCCTCATCATTGGTGTTTCTATCTCCCTCCCTCTCCTCTCCTCTCTGAAATCAATAAAATTATATTTTTTATAAAACGTCAAACTCTGGAAATGTTACTAATCTGGAAGAGGATAGATTAGAGACATTTCTGGGTAAATAGTTTGTATTGAAGATGTTTTGCCAATGTCAATTTTTTTCATTTGTTCTTTTAGTTTTTATGGTTGATATTAAAAAGATATATGTATCTGCCATTAAAAGTTTCTAAATATTCTGCTTATTCATTTAGCTAAGGAAGGAAATGTGGTATTACCCCATTTTATAGATGAAGTCATCAAGCCTACCTTACCTTAAGTCCTATGGTTTTCATTTCCCTATGTATAAATTAGAGTTGGTGCTTACAATGATCTTTTTCTCATTATCATTCTAAAAGGATAAACAAACTGAATTACTCTTATATTTTTATTTTTCTTGTCTCTTACAGGTATAGAGAAAGAAAAAATAACCCCACTCCCCCACCCCAAAATATTTTTTAAATCATAGATCTCTTTTGTTTTCAAGTGCTTAGATACTTAAAGAAGATTTCTTGAAGACTGCTTTTGGAATAAAAGAGCATGGATCCCAGCAGTGACTACCATTACCTCAATCAGATTTTGTGGAGAAGGGTGAAACTCACGTTGGTTTGTGGCATCTTTGAGGGAGTGCTCCAGCATGTGGACCCTAACAAGATTGTTGTCTTGAAGAAAGGTCTCTTTTTATTTCTCATAATCTTCTGCCGTTTAAGAAATTCATAGCTTAGTTTGGGTGATGACTGGGCTCCACTGGGATTATTAGTAGGCATCATTCCTATTTTAGGAAAGGGTAGGAGGAAGATTAGAATGCTATTTTCCCTAACAGCAACATGGCTGCATATGCTAGCTTGTCCCACTTCTCTACTTTTATTGACATGATAGTAGAAAATTTCAGTATATTTTTTAAATTGGGTAATTCTTTTAATTTTTCTCCATATGCATCTTGAAATTTAAAATAACTACTCTATTAGATAGAATTGCTTTTGGCTTTAACAGACAAAGTCACAAAGGCAGTTATTTTTCTCATGCAAAAAAAGAAGTCAGAGATAGGCTGCTTAGTAATAGTGCAAAGGCTCAAAGATACCAGGAGGGACCAGAGGTCTTGTGCTCCTGCTCTGCAACCTCAGCGATTATCTATTATCCTTTGTCATAAAGTAACTTCTATCTCTCCCAGCTGCATTTCTGGTTTATTATAAAGGATACAACTCAGGAACAGCCAAATGGAAGAGGCTCAGAGTTTCCATGCCTTCTCTGGGTGTGCCATCCTACTCGCTCCTCCATGTGTTCACCTTGAAGCTACAATATTTTTTAAAATTGATTTTAGAGAGAGGAAGGGAGAAGGATAGTGAGAAACATCGATTGGCTGCCTCCTGCACACCCCCTACTGAGCATGTACCCTGACAGGGAATCAAATCCTGACTTCCTGGTTCATGTGGTGATGTTCAACCATTGAGCCACACCAGCTGGGCCTAACATGTAGTTTTTAATTAAGCCAAATTATGGACCTGCTAGGATAGTTGTTTTCCTGGCATGATAAATTTCAAGTTCATAATTAAAACATACATAAATGGCCCCAGCCAGTTTGCTCAGTAGATAGAGTGTTGGCCTGTGGTCCAAAGGGTCCCAGGTGTGATTCTGGTCAATGGCACATACCTTGGTTGCAGGCTCCTCCCCAGCCCGGTCCCTGGTCGGGGCTCCTGCAGGAGGCAACCAACCAATGTGTTTCTCTCACATGGATGTTTCTCTCCATCTTTCCCTCTCTTTTCCACTCTTCCTAAAAATCAATGGAAAAATACCTTCAGGTGAGGATTTTTTTTAAAAAAAAGACATAAATGGCATTTGAGATTAGTTTTATTGTTAAGCCACATTATGACTTTTGTGCGCTAGGAATAATTCATTCAGTAACCATTTATTGATAGTTGAATATACCAGGTACTGTGCAATGTACCAGGGATATAGATAAGAATGACATAGTCCCTATTCTCAAAAAACTTAGTCTGGTAAGGAGACATAAGCAAGTAGAAAAATATACAGTAATGTAGTGTTATATCCTTTTTTATAGAGGGACAAGATGCTATGGAAACACAAAAGTTCAGCTAATTTCCATCTGAGCGTGGTAGGATTAGTGCAGTGGGGAAGGCTTCCCTAATGGCAGAATTGATGCAGAACTTCATTCAGGTGAATAGGAATTAACTGGATGGGAAGAAAGGGAGGCTGTTTTAAGTCAGTGGTTCTCAAACTTTATCTATGCATCAAGATCACATGGGAGATTTGTTAAAACACAGATTGCTTGACCCCCCTCCAAGAGTTTCTAATTCTTAGGTCTGGAGTGGGGATCAAGAATTTGCATTTCTGAAAAACTTTGGAGGAAAAACCAAGATGGCGGCATAGGTTAACGCCAGAGATTGCTGCCTTGAACAACCACTTCAAAAAACAACTAAAGACGGAACAGACATCATCGAGAACCACAGGAAGGCTGGCTGAGTGGAAATTCTACAACTAGGAGGAAAGAGAATATCATACCCAGACTCAGAGGAGGCACAGTGCTGAAGTGAAATACTGAGGTGCAGAGTGCGCGTGGAGCGGGCTGGTGGCAGAGGGCGCGGTTGTTGTTTTCAATCGGGAGGGAGTTTCAGACTCTGAGCTCCAGATCCGGGCAAGTCTCTAGGGACCCAGACTCAAACGGGAGAAGCGTGACTATCTGGCTTCGGTCGGAATTTGAAGGCAGCTTTCTCTCTGAGGTTTGCAGCGGTTGCTGGGACTCTGTGAGGCAGAGCCCCTAGGGTCGGAACTGAGAGCAGCCATAACTGCTCGCTCCGGCCTGCCCTGTAGATCCCCGGGGACCCGCCCCGCCCACGCCCTGCACAGAGCCATTTGCCAGATAGCCTCAGGCAAAGGCTAGATTAGCACCGCCCTAGAGATCCAGCACAGAAGCTCTCCCACTGCAGACACAGCGGACTCTCATAGCCAGTTAGCCTGGAGGTCAAATCACCCCCACTATTGCCGACAACAATCAAGGCTTAACTACAACAAGACTGCGCACAAAGACCACTAGGGGGTGCACCAAGAAAGCATAAAAAATGCAGAGACAAAGAAACAGGACAAAATTGTCCATGGAGGATATAGAGTTCAGAACCACACTTTTAAGGTCTCTCAAGAACTGTCTAGAAGCTGCCGATAAATGTAGTGAGATCCTCAAGAAATCTAATGAGACCCTCGATGTTGTGATAAAGAACCAACTAGAAATTAAGCATACACTGACTGAAATAAAGAATATTATACAGACACCCAACAGCAGACCAGAGGAGCGCAAGAATCAAGTCAAAGATTCGAAATGCGAAGAAGCAAAAAACACCCAACCGGAAAAGCAAAATGAAAAAAGAATCCGAAAATACGAAGATAGTGTAAGGAGCCTCTGGGATAGCTTCAAGCGTACCAACATCAGAATTATAGGGGTGCCAGAAGATGAGAGAGAGCAAGATATTGAAAACCTATTTGAAGAAATAATGACAGAAAACTTCCCCCACCTGGTGAGAGAAATAGACTTACAGGTCCAGGAAGCGCAGAGAACCCCAAACAAAAGGAATCCAAAGAGGACCACACCAAGACACATCATAATTAAAATGCCAAGAGCAAAAGACAAAGAGAGAATCTTAAAAGCAGCAAGAGAAAGAAACTCAGTTACCTACAAGGGAATACCCATACAACTGTCAGCTGATTTCTCAACAGAAATTTTGCAGGCCAGAAGGGAATGGCAAGAAATATTCAAAGTGATGAATAGCAAGAACCTACAACCAAGATTACTTTATGCAGCAAAGCTATCATTCAGAACTGAAGGTCAGATAAAGAGCTTCACAGATAAGGAAAAGCTAAAGGAGTTCATCACCACCAAACCAGTATTATATGAAATGCTGAAAGGTATCCTTTAAGAAGAGGAAGAGGAAGAAAAAGGTAAAGATACAAATTATGAACAACAAACATGCATCTATCAACAAGTGAATCTAAGAATCAAGTGAATAAATAATCTGGTGATCATAATAGAATCAGGGACATAGAAAGGGAATGGACTGACTATTCTTGGGGGGGGAAAGGGGTGTGGGAGATGCGGGAAGAGACTGGACAAAAATCATGCACCTATGGATGAGGACAGTGGGTGGGGAGTGAGGGTGGAGGGTGGGGCGGGAACTGGGAGGAGGGGAGTTTTGGGGGGAAAAAAGAGGAACAAATGTAATAATCTGAACAATAAAGATTTAATTTAAAAAAAAGAATTTGCATTTCTGACGTTTCCTGGTGATGCAGATGATGGAGAACATGGAGGGAACTATTGTTTTAAGCAGAAGTTGCCGTATGTACAAACACACAGAGACATGAAAATTTGGTGCATTCAGAAAACCTAAGTAAATTTCAGTATGAAGATATGAGAAATAGGCATAGACAGATGAGAAGGACCTTACATGTCATAGCATTTGGACACTTCTGAAAGCAATGAGGAACAATCTGAAAATTTTTAAGTGGGAGGCATATAAGTTTTCAAGTTAGTTGCTTGAAATTTTTAATGCTGTGTTATTAGGAACCATGACTAGGTGCTAGAAACAGATTTGTTTCCAGGGGCTTAAATACATTAGGAGTTTATTCTCATATTAAAGAAGGTAGACATCCCAGGCATACTCCCCAAAGTTGGCAAGGATCCAGGGTTTTTCATTTTCTACTCTGCCATCATTTTAGCACATGGCTTCAAATCTCAGAATAATTGATGGAGTTACAGACAGGAGGAAGAGGGAAGATGGGGAAACCGGTGTTCTATCCAGCTGAATCAGCCCCCTTAAAGAGGTGCCCTGGAAGCCCAGTAGGTCACCACTCTCTGCAGGGAGATTGAGCACGTTTCTAGCCTGAATAAATGGCATTGAATAGACAACCATCTGTAAATGTCTCATGCTTGTTCAATAAGCCTTCAGTCCAGATGACATATTTTGGTATTTTTTTTTTTTTTACACTAAGCAACCTACAGGGTTGTTTTTTTCTGATATACTTCTGGAGCTGCCTTTCTACCTTCCCACGCTGCCCAGAGGCCCAGAGTGGCTGGGGGCGGTGTGGAAGGCATGGCGCTGACGCAGGTGTCCCACCCCGCCCCCGGCCACTCGGCACCTGTGTATGCACATTTACCGGCCAGCTTTGTTGGGTTAATTTGCATACTCACTCCTGATTGGCTGGTGGGCGTCATGAAAGTGTGGTCAATTTGCATCTTTCTCTTTAATTAGTGTAGATAGAAATGGGAAGAGGTGCAGGTTTATTGGTTACTAGGAGAAGATATGATTTCAGTTTGAAAATCTTAAGTATCTTATTAGTCAGTTGAAAACGTGAGTGGAATTCAGAGAAATATTCCATATTGGAGAAATAATGCATGTCAGGACAGCTACAGCTAGGAAGTTGATGTGATCATTCAAGAAGAAGGAAAAAGGATGAAGAACATAACCCTGGAGACTATCAATGTGCAGGCAGAGATGGTAGAGGCAGCTAAGGAGACTGGAAGCAAACCAGGGTGACAGTGCAACACTGGTTATGAGGTGCATATTAAAATCATTGAGACCTGGGTTTGAATTCTGACTCTGTCTTTTACTAGCAGTGTGACTTGAAGCACGTTATTCAACCTTTCTGAGTCTTAGATTCCTCCATAATAGAGATAATGAAATGCCTGTCTTATTATGTTACTGGATAATTAAATGTAGGCAAATAATTAGCATGGTGCCTGGCATGGAATAGGTGCTCAGTAATTAGCATGGTGCCTGGCATGGAATAGGTGCTCAGTATGGTAGTTCTAGGTAACTAGTAGGAAAGAACTAAACAAAGTGTGTCCTGTAAAGCCAAGAAGAAAGGAGAGAATAGTATCAAAGGATGTGTGGGAGCCAAGTATGTTAATACTGTAAACGTTCTTTTTGGATTTGAGAAATAGGCAGTTGGTGATCTTTGACCTCAGTAAAAATATATTCAGTGGAATCATGGGGTGAAACTCAATTATTTTGGATTGCTGAGAAATGTGGAAATATACAACTGCTGTGAGCACTTTCATCTAGAAAAATAACACCATATTGTAGTCATGAGATCTTAACTCCTAATTCCCTTATGTGCTTGGAGAAGAGCCCTGTATTTGCGCCAGGAATTGAATTGTTATTCCTGACAGTATTTTTGACCATGTAGCATGAAACAGAGTGTGGACTCTAGAAATAGCTGCCTGAAATTTTTTCTGGAGTTAGGTGGACTAAAATTCAATGGAAATATAGTAAATAGATATAATTCTTGGCCCTAAAGGCCCCTGCATATTATTGATAGAAGTTTAAGTTTTTAGAGAGAGGAGGGGGGAGAGAGAAACATCAATTTGTTCTACTTATTTATGCATTCACTGTTTGATTTTTTTTTTTTTAATGAAAAGATATTATTATTTTACTGTATAACATAGTAGTGAATAGCCCTGACCGGTTTGGCCCAGTGGATAGAGCATCAGCCTGTGGACTGGAGGGTCTTAGGTTCAATTCCAGTCAAGGGTATGTACCTTGGTTGCGGGCACATCCCCAGTAGGGGGTGTGCAGGAGGCAGCTGGTGGATGTTTCTCTCTCATCGATCTTTCTAACTCTCTATCCCTCTCCCTTCCTCTCTGTAAAAAATCAATAAACTATATTAAAAAGCAACAAAAACATAGTAGTGAATATACCTGATTGCATTTTCTCAAATGGCAAATGAGACACATGACAGCATTTCTCTTTGAGTACTGAAAACCTCAATATCAACTGTCTTGATTTTCAAACAAGGGCTTTGGAGGATTCAGTTTCTTATGACGTGTATGATACTGTCCATGAGGATACCAACGGTGCTTAGTAGTAAAGAACATTTTGTTAAGTTGTTCTATCATGGGTCCTTGCTCAAAGTGTTTATCTTTTTCTTCTACTCTGGTTTTTAATATATGATCCTGTGTTTCTTCATAGTTATATGCATAGTGTCTGGCTGAGAGATAGGTTTGGTGTGTTCATGTGGAATACCCACAGAGGATGGCAGCAAACTATCATCCTGCCATCAGATGTCAAAGCAAGTTCTGCTTGGCAATCACAGTCATCTGGAAGGGAAGAGTATGTGGATTTATGACAAATACAATATAAAGCTCCATTTTGAATTGGAAATAAATATTTCAAGCTAGTTCTGCTTGATATTGCCTGTTTCACTGCTGATACGGCCATGGTGAATGAAGATGCTTATCAGGTGCTATGGAAAAAGATTAGAAGAGAAAATGCTTTTAAAATTGGCTCAGTGGATAGAGCGTCAGCCTGCGGACTGAAGGGTCCCGGGTTTGATTCCAGCCAAGGGCACATGCCTGGGTTGCGGGCTCGATCCACAGTAGGGGGCATGCAAGAGGCAGTCGGTCAATGGTTCTCTCTCACCATTGATGTTTTCTATCTCTCTCTCCTTCTCCCTTCCTCTCTGAAATCAATAAAGAAATACAAAAAAATAAAAATAAAAATTTGCTTCTAGGCATACCTATTTTCATCCCTTGATAGCTGCTCACTGCAAGCCCGCCATCTTGCCTCCCACAGTTTGATTCTTGTATGTGCCCTGTCAGGAGATTGAACCCAGAACCTTGGTGTGTCAGAATGATGCTCTAACCAACTGAGCTACTAGTCAGGGCTTCTTTGGAGAAGTTTAAATTCATTGCACTACCATTGCCTTTCTCTAGGGTTCCCCTTGTTCTTTATACTGCTTGTTTCAAGGCTATAGCTTTGTAATTTGTTACTGACTCTTCAATCTTTGGGGGAGAATAACTTGGGAATTTTTATAAAACTCAGATTGAGCACTTTTGAGAGATATAATACTTTTTTTATAGTTTTAGGGCTCATTCTTTTTTATTAACCAATTGAATTATTTTCTATAACAGTGAAGAATGTGGAGACTGGTCGAAGTGTCCCAGGAGTGAAGATGTTTTTTGGGCATGAGATTGTGAATGGTGAGAACTTCATTGTCCTTGAATGCTGGTATTGGGATTTGCAGGGGTAAACTCACTGCACTGACTCATTCCAATATTTGAAAAAAAATGATTGTTATCTTGCCTTTAATATTGCATTTATGAACTCTTAAATAAGTTAGTATTTGAGAATTGATCCTTACCTTACTGTTTCAATGGATATTATGAGCAAAAATAGTCTTAGAGAATTTTAGTCATCTTGGTTTTTACAATGTGAGGATTGCTAGTGCTCATTATAAGAGACTCAACCAGAGGCAGAGTTAGGAGTCTGAACAGAAAGGAATTGTCACCCTAGCCAGTTTGGCTCAGTGGATAGAGCGTCAGCCTGCGGACTTAAGGGTCCCAGGTTTGATTCCGGCCAAGGGCATGTATCTTGGTTGTGGGCACATCCCCAGTGGGGAGTGTGCAGGAGGCAGCTGATCGATGTTTCTCTCTCATCGATGCTTCTAACTCTCTATCCCTCTCCCTTCCTCTCTGTAAAATATCAATAAAATATATTTTTAAAAAAAGAAAGAAAGAAAGGAATTTTCTTGCTCAGCAAGCGAGTTTAACACTACAGGTTCACAGTACATTCACAAGCTCTTACCTGAAACCTTGGGGCCAAATTTTTCAGAATCCAGAATTGTACTGGACATTTGGAAAAACCTAACACAGAGTATATACTGTTCATCTATACCAGTGGTCGGCAAACTCATTAGTCAACAGAGCCAAATAGCAATAGTACAACGATTGAAATTTCTTTTGAGAGCCAAATTTTTTAAACTTAAACTACATAGGTAGGTACATTGTTATTAACTTAATTAGGGTACTCCTAAGGCTTAGGAAGAGCCACACTCGAGGGGCCAAAGAGCCGCATGTGGCTCACGAGCCGCAGTTTGCAGACCACTGATCTATACTAATAAAAGGATAATATGCTAATTAGACCGGGAGACCTTCTGGACAAAGCTATGGTGGCAGGGTCGAGGCAGAGGCAGTTAGGAGTGATCAGGCCAGGAGGGGAGGGCAGTTGGGGCTGATCAGACCAGCAAGGGGGCCAGTTGGGAGCAAGCAGGCTGGCAGGGGGGGTAATTGGCGGAGATCAGGCCGGCAGGGAGGACAGTTGGGGGCGAGCCAGCTGGCAGGCAGAGTGGTTAGGGGTGATCAGGCAGGCAGGCAGGTGAGTGGTTAGGAGCCAGCAGTTCCAGATTGGGAGAGGGATCCCAGATCGGAGAGGGTGCAGGCCAGGCTGAGGGACACCCCCCCCTCCATGCACGAATTTTGTGCACGGGCCACTAGTATTACATAACACCTCAAGCAGATCTAGGCAGCACTCTATAATAAAACACATTTCTACAGAGAAATGTGTGCATAATCATACTAAGTGGAATAAAATAGGACTATAAGTAGTATGTCAGTTTAGGTTTTGCTGCCAAAAGAGTCACAGGAAAAATTTTTTATCAGAGCTTTTTGCGTTTTGGAATCACAGGAAGCAGTTTTGTTCTTTATTTCTGCCAACAAAAGCCATTTAGCAAGAGTAGGTCCAATTGTTTGCCTGAAATAGTATAGAAGCTTATCTGGTCAGTGTGTTTGAAACAAACCATATGGACTAAGAAAAGGGCTGGGAGAAAGAACTGTTATTGCTTTTAAGAACTCAAAAGCAGAAATTCCTCCAAGGAGGAATAAAGATAAGTGCAGGGAAGAGAAGGTGGTGGAGTCTGAGATCTGGGACTGCATAGAGCTCTGCATTTCTTACCATTGGGGCAAATATGAGTAAAGGAAAGGACTTCTGTAAACAAGAAATTATTGCTGCTTGAAAGTTTACTTTGTTTTGTGAGAGAAGTAGAATTTAGGGAGAGGTGAAAATCTCACCAAATTAATGACTGCCAGTCCAGATCCACTTCTAGCCAGCTATCTAACTGTCCTTTGTCACTGAGTATTCTACTGTAAAACTCGGTCCCTTGACCACCTTTTTATAATCTCAGTGATGGTGGTGGCGGTAGTGGGATTCTTTCTTTTCTTTTCTTCTCTCTTCTTTTCTTTTCTTTTTTTTTGGTTAATCCTCACCCAAGGATATTTTTTGCATTGAATTTTAGAGAGAGTGGAAGGGAGGGATAAGGACAGAGAGAAACATCAATGTGAGAGAGACACATCAATTGGTTGCCTCCTATATGTGCCCTTCACTGGAATTGAGCCCACAACCTTTCAGTCCACGGGCCGATGCTGTAACCACTGAGACAAACTGGCTAGGGCAGTAGGGGGGCTGGTCCCATCTGGGTTTCTGAAAAAAATTCTTTTGATTTCAGAGAGTAAGGGAGAGCTAGAAACATTGATGATGAGAGAGAATCATTGATTGACTGCCCTACACTGGAGACTGAACCCGCAACCTGGGCATGTGCCCTGACTGGGAATCAAACTGTGATCTCCTGGTTCATAGGTCAGTGCTCAACCACTGAGCCACACAGGCTGGGCTTCTTAAGTGTGTTTTAAGTATTAGCCTTTGAAGAGAAGCACAGCTCTGATCTGGCACAAAGCTAGGCTATGGATGGGTTTATAAAGGGAAGTGAAGGAATCACTACTACCATCTCCTAACTCAGGAGAATACTAACCACTGATCAGCTTTATAATCTGTACACATGGATCTCATCTCCTCCTAAATTCTTTCTCAGGGCTTAGTCTTTGTTCATAACTTTTAGATGCAAAAGCTGGCCTTCTCCTCCTTTGTCCTGTGGCTCACTCAGACATGGAGGGGTCTCCCTGAAAAGCACCTTGAATAGAAATTGTCATGATGAAGGATAATAGTTGATTTTAGTGTTTTTAGTGAATTTCACTTTCTCTGACCCAGACTCCACATTTCCAGGTAGTTTAGGGGAAAGAGACATTTGAGAGTGGCCCTTGAGAGCCTTTTCCCCTGAAAAGTAACTAATGCATACAATTGAATCTAAGATGCCATTAATTGTAAGGTACACTATTACTTTCCCACCCTAAGAAAAAAAATAAAGGCTTTCAATTATGAGTCATATCCAATTTCAGAGCTGTTTAAAATGTGCATTTTAGAATCAATGATATATAACATTTCCCTACGTTCCTACACTGCTAGGTTAAAAATAAATGGTTTCAGAATCTCATGGAATGTTTTCTCTCATATATCTTTTGTGATTTTGAATCTAGCTTTTATTACTTTTCATGTCACTGAAATATTAATGTACTAGCTTGTGAGAGTTTGAAAGGGATAGATTTGTAAGTGATTTTATAGAAAACCCCCCAAGCAGTACATAGTGTGAAGAAAGATGCATTGGAATTGGAATGAACAGAAAAGAAAAGATATTTCTAGAACCAATCTGTATGACCACAGAGGTGCCCTGGAACAAAAAGGGTAAACAGAACATGTAGAGAGTTTCCTAATCCTGCTGAATGGCCAAGGAAGCTACAAAGGGACATAGTATTAGGAGTCTTTACAACCTAAGTGTCCATTGATAGACATTTGGATAAAGAAGATGTGGTACATATATATACAATGGAATATTACTTGGCTATAAGAAAGAATAAAATCTTACCATTTGCAACAACAGAAACAAATTCAGAGAACCAACTAATGGTTGCCTGATGGGGTAGGAATTCGGGGACTGGGTGAAAAAAAATGTGAAAAGATTAAGAAGTATAGATTGGCAGTTACAAAATAGTCATGGTGATGTAAATTACAGCATAGAAAATATAGTCAATAATATTGTAATAACTAGAGGCCTGTTGCATGAAATTTGTGCACTGGTGGGGTCCCTAGGCCTGGCCAGCGATCAGGGCTGATCAGAACCTTCCTTCCCCTGGCCGGCTGCCAGCTGCCAGCGGGGGCCTTCCTTCGTTGCACACTGCCCCCTAGTGGTCAGTGCACTTCATAGCGGGTGGTCAAACTCCCGGTCGGTCGAACTCCTCCCAGTTGGTCAAACTCCTCCTGGTCGGTCAAACTCCCAAGGGGGCAATTTGCATATTAGCCTTTTATTATATGGGATTATGTATAGTGCCAGGTGGGTACTAGACTTATTAAGGTAAATACTTCATAAGATATAAATGTCTAACCATTATACTGTACATCTGAAACTAATATAATATTGAATGTCAACTATAATTGAAAAATAAAAATATTAGGAGTCATCAGTACTTTGGATAGTCCTTTCTACTCTATTACTAGCATATAAAGGCCTCTGGGGACTAATATTTCATTTCCAATTATTGTTTGTGGTACATGGACAAACTGTGGACAGGGGCAGATGGGGATGTTAATTGCTTTTAGATTGGAAACTGTTGGAAGCCATTTGTTTCTTTTACAGTGGAACTACTGGATGAAGTGGAACAAGGTACAATGGGAGAAAAAGCATCCTCTGTTAGGTATGATAGAGTACTTTTCTTAATTATTATGTTACCCAAATGTACACATTAGAGTAGAATGCCTTGACTCTAATTCATTAGTTGGGTAATAGAAATGAGAAAAAATAGATGGATATTTTCTTCCATCTGTATTTTATTATCTTTCAAATCTTTTTTTTAAAATCCTCACGCAAGGAGTGAGAATATTTTTTCCATTGATTTTTTTTTTTAAGAGAGTGTGTGGAAGGGAGGGGGGAGGGGAGAAAGGAAGAGAGAGTAAGAGAGAGGAACATCGATGTGTCACATTGATTGGTTGCCTCCTACACACACCCCATCCAGGGGCGGGGATGGGACCTGTGACCCAGGTATATGCCCTTGATTGAGAATAGAACGGGCAACCCTCCAGTGCCTGGGCTGATGCTCTAACCACTGAGCATGCTGGCTAGGGCTTCTTCAATCTTTAGACGGTATATTCACTGAGCCAAATAGACGGTATATTCAAATGAGTGTAAGCAGTGGATGAATGGGGTCCTCTATGAAATGGAGATCTAGAGTTGTTATCATTGATGTGTGGCAAAATCTATGTATGGTATTAGCAACAAAGAATAGTTCACCTGAGTATTGTTTTTTGTAAGTATAGTCTAAATACAGAAAGAACCAGGTTGGATGAAATGAAAGATGAAGACTTAAATATATGTGAGCCTCCTCCTGCCCCTGAGGCACCAACCACCTCTCTTCTGAATGACCTCAAGTACAGCCCATCAGGTGAGTACTGGGCTTTCTATTTGTTTGTTTTTTTGTTAATCCTCCCCCAAGAATTTTTTTTCCATTGATTTTTTAGAGAGAGTGGAGGAAGGGAAAAGAGAGAAAGAGAGGGAAAAACACTGCTGTGAGAGAGAGACATGGATTGGTTGCCTCCTGAACATGCCCAGACCGGTGCCAGGGATCAAACCTGCAACCCAGGTACATGCCCTTGACCAGGAATCAAACCTAAGACCTTTTGGTCCCAGGACCGATGCTCTAAGCCAGCCGTGGGCAAACTACGGCCCGGCCCGTTTGAAATGAATAAAACTAAAAAAAAAAAAAAAGACCGTACCCTTTTATGTAATGATGTTTACTTTGAATTTATATTAGTTCACACAAACACTCCATCCATGCTTTTGTTCCGGCCTTCCGGTCCAGTTTAAGAACCCATTGTGGCCCTCGAGTCAAAAAGTTTGCCCAACCCTACTCTAAACACTTAGCAAAACTGGCCAGGGCTGGGCTTTCTTTATTGTGGTTCAGCACTCTTCAGAGTTGGCATAATCCTAAGTCAGGGTTCCATATGGAATGCTCAGCTAAGCCATTGCTTCTTGGTCCTGAATTAAGATAAAATATCATGATTCAGTTGTTTATTTAATATTTGAGTGCACACTATATTTAGACATTGGGTATACTGTTACCTCTTTGAGCTCTGGTGGAGGAAATAGACACTAAATAATTAAAATAAATAGTTTAATATATAGGATGCCAGTGCCAAATGCTATAGAGAGAAAAAACAGAAGAAAGAATAGAAGTCTGGCCCGGCCAGTGTGGCTCAGTGGTTGAGCATCGACCTATGAACCATGAAGTCACGATTGGATTTCTGGTTAGGGCATATGCCCGCGTTGCAGGCTCAGTCCTCAGTGTGGAGCATGCAGGAGGCAGCAGATCAATGATTCTCTTCATCACTGATGTTTCTATCTCTCTCTCTCTTCCTCTCTTCATCTCTGAGATCAATAAAAATATATTTTAAAAAAAGTAGAAGTCTGTGGAGAGGGTGGTTTTATAATTTAGGGTGTCCAGGACAAGCCTTATCGAAATGGTGAGATTTGAGTAATGGCCTGGAGAAGGTGAGGGATGGAGCTGTATAGATATCTATGGGAAATATTTTTTAGGCAGAATAAAGAACAAATACAAAGGCCCTGAGAAAGAAACATGGCAGGATCTTGACATAACAGCAAAGAGATCAGTTTAGCTGGAGCAAGGAGAGCAGTAGGAGATGAAGTGGGCTCAGTGGATCATAGAGGAAGTTGTAGGTCACTGAAGGGACCTGTACTCAGAAGTGAGAAGAGAAGCCACTGGAGGATTTCTTGGCTTTATCTAATGAGTAAGGTTGTAGAGGATCTTTTAATGTGCTTATTTGCCATTAAATATCTTTGGTAAAATATCTGTTCATATCTTTTGCCCATCTTCTTTTTTTAAAAAAATATATATATTTTATTGATTTTTTACAGAGAGGAAGGGAGAGGAATAGAGAGTTAGAAACATCGATGAGAGAGAAACATTGATCAGCTGCCTCCTGCACACTCCCTACTGGGGTTGTGTCCGCAACCAAGTACATGCCCTTGACGGGAATTGAACCTGGGACCCTTAAGTCCACAGGCCGACGCTCTATCCACTGAGCCAAACTGGTTAGGGCTGCTCATCTTCTTATTGAAGTACTAGGGGCCCAGTGCATGAATTCGTGCACCTTGAAAGGGACTGTGGGCTGCGAGGCTGCAGTGGGCACAGGGGTGGGTCTCTGCCATCCTCTGTGCCCCCGCCTGGCCCCTTCCACCAAGGCCCCTGGTCCCCTGTTTGCCAGCAGCCCACCACTCCCACACGCTGATGTCACCAGCCCTGCTTGCACCCACTGATGGTGCGGAGCAATTGGGGTCGGCACCAGCAGCAGGTGCGAGCTGGGCCAGTGCCATTAGCAGGTGCGAGCGGCAGCTGCTGCCCTGATCGCCCCTCAGGAGTAGGGGGAGGTGGAGAAGCCCTCAGGGGCGGTCAGGCAGCCACTGCTTGAATCCGCTGATGGCGCCGAGTGATGGACTGGTGCCAAGCACCGGCACTAGCTGCAAGTGTGAGTGGGGCCAGCGCCAGCGGCATGTGTGAGCACTGGGCGGGCCCGCGGTGTGCAGGAACAAAGAATTTTCAGTAGCCACCAGAGGCTTGCCCCAATGACAGTGACCGATGCCCCACCTTGGTCTGGCGCCCCCACTCACCTGCTCCACTATTCCACCATGGCCAATGCCTGCCATGTTCCACACACATCCCCTGGTGGTCAGCACACATCATAGCAACCAGTTGTTCAGTTGTTTGGTTGTTCCTGTTGTTCTGCCGTTCAGTCTATTTGCATATTAGCCTTTTATTATATAGGATTTTATTCAACTAGAGGCCCAGTGCACAAAATTCATGTACTGGGGGGTGGGGGTCCCTCAGCCCAGCCTGCCCCCTCTCACAGTCCAGGAGCCCTCAGGGGGAGTGGGCCTAAGCTTCAGTCTGGCCATGGAGGCTTGGAGCAGGTGCCCTGTGTGTGTGTGTGTGTGTGTGTGTGTGTGTGTGTCCACTGGGGGCCTGTCCCAAGCCGTGCCATGGAGGCTCGGAGCAGGCACCCCGTGTGTGTGTGTGTGTGTGTGTGTGTGTGTGTCTGCTGGGGGTCTGCCCCCAGCCGTGCCGCGCCCTCTATGTTGATCATTCAGGCTTGGGCGGAGCCCGGCCGCTCCTCCAGAGCTGGTCGTGACCATGAAGGAGTCTTGACCTCATTTGCATATTACTTCCTTATATATATAGATGTTAGGAGTTCTTTGTAAATTCTGAATACAAGTCTTTTCTCAGATAAATACTTGCAAAGCATTTATCTTGGTTTGGCTTTTCATTCTCTAAAGTATCTTTCAAAGAACAGACTAAAAATTTTGATGAACTACAGTTTTTCCATGTTTTCTTTTATGGGTTATGCTTTTGATGTTATATCTAAAAAATTTTATCACAACTCAAAGTCACATGTTTTCTCCTTGATGTTTCATAGCTTTAGGTTTACATTTAGGTCTATGATTCATTTTCAGTTAATTTTTATATAAGATTTGAGGTATTGATCAAAGTTCTTTTTTGCATGTGTATAACTTTGTTGAAAAGACTATATTTTCCACTTAACTACTTTTGTACCTTTTTAAAAATATATATATTTTATTGATTTTTTACAGAGAGGAAGGGAGAGAGATAGAGAGTTAGAAACATCAATGAGAGAGAAACATTGATCAGCTGCCTCCTGCACACCTCCCACTGGGGATGTGCCCGCAACCAAGGTACATGCCCTTGACTGGAATCGAACCTGGGACCTTTCAGTCCACAGGCTGACGCTCTATCCACTGAGCCAAACCGGTTAGGGCTACTTTTGTACCTTTGTCAAATATCAGTTGCCTATAAATGTGTACGTTTATTTCTCGACACTCAATTTTGTTACATTGATTTAATTTTCTATCTTTACACCAATAATAGACTGTTTTGTTTACTATTGATTTATTCTTGAAATGAGGTGGTGTTAGTTCTTTTTTCAAAGTTGTTTTGGCTATTTTATGTCTTTTGCATTTCCCTATGAACATTAGAATCAGCTTGTTAATTTCTACCAAAGAAAGAACCACCACACTTAAAAAACAACCCTGCTGGAATTTTTATTGGGATTGCATTGAATTGCTAGATTGGGGAATATTGGCATCTTAACAATATTGAATATTCCAATCTATTAACCTAGTATATTTTTCCATTTATTTAGATCTTTATTTCTTAGCAATGTTTTGTAGCCTTCAGCATGTCTTACATATCTTTAGCCATAATTACCCCTAAGTATTTCATATTTTTATACTGTTGTTACTGTCTTAAAGTTTTTATTTTTCCATTGGAGAGGTTATTTTGTGTGGTTTATGTTTTTTAAAAAAATGTATATTTTTATTGATTTCAGAGATGAAGGGAGAGGGCAAGAGAGATAGAAACATCAATAATGAGAGATAATTATTGGTTGGCTGCCTCCTGCATGCCTCACACTGAGGATTGAGCCTGCATCCTGGACATGTGTCCTGACCAGGAATCAAACCATGCATGACCTTCTGGTTCATAGCTCGAAGCTTAACCACTGAGCCACACTAGAAGGGCCCTATTGGAGAGTTTTGAGCAGAAAAGTAACATGATCTGACTTCTCTTTTAACAAGATCAGTCTAAATCAGTGGTTCTCAACCTTCCTAATGCCGTGACCCTTTAATACAGTTTCTCATGTTGTGGTGACCCCCAACCATAAAATTATTTTTGTTGCTACTTCATAACTGTAATTTTGCTACTGTTATAAATCGTAATGTAAATATCTGATATGCAAGATGTATTTTCATTGTTACAAATTGAACATAATTAAAGCATAGTGATTAATCACAAAAACAATATGTAATTATATATGTGTTTTCCGATGGTCTTAGGCGACCTCTGTGAAAGGGTTGTTTGATCCCCAAAGGGGTCGCGAGCCACAGGTTGAGAACCGCTGGTCTAATTGCTTATAGAAAGACTAGTGTCCTGGTCATGGATTAGTGCACATTGAAAGTAAATTAATTAGAAGGGGGCCAGCAGGGTGGGACTGGGCGAGATGGGCTGGACACGCCCCCTCCCCCAATGTCTGCAGCGTGAGCAGAGTTTCTCCAGCAGGTGGGGTTCCTCAGCCTGGCCCATGGAGATCAGGCTGAAACCAGCTCTCTGGCATCCCCTGAGGGGGCCCAAAGTGCAAGAGGGCACTCTGCAAAGTTGCTGTTGTACAGGCAGAATAAAGAACAAATACAAGTGTGCAGTAAACCAGATTCATGGCCGACAGTGCCCCAGCAACAACATAACCCACGGCTGAAGGCGAAATCGTGTGGCCCTGTGAGGAATCGGGCTCCCTCCTCTCTGGTTTCAAGGTGCATCACCCGAGAACCGCTGCTGCCAAGTCACTGCAGCTCAGCAGCTCCTGCATTGAGCATTTCCCTCTGGTGGTCAGTGCACATCATAGCGACAGGTTGGTCGGTGGAAAGGGCACTTAGCATATGAGCCATATATATATATTTGTATGTATATATGGACAAGGGTGAAAGCATGAATACCCCTTAGGAGGCTATTGAAATAATTTTACAACAAGTGAGTATGGTGAAACTTGGATGGTAGTGGTGGCAGTATGATTGGTAAGAAGTGGTGGAATTCTGGGTGTATGTTGAGGTGAAGCATACACGATTTACTGGTAAATCAGATATGGATGTGAGAGAAAGAGAGGAATCAAGGATGATATCAGGGGTTTGGGCCTGAGTATCCTGAAGTATGGTGTTGCTTAAACTGAGATGGGAAAGACTGGATGGAAAAGGTTTGGGGAAGATAATTAAGAGTTTAGTTTCTGTTAACCTAAGTTTGAATGTAAGTCTAGAGATGAGGAGAAAGGTCTGAGATGGAGGTACATATTTAAGAGTCAGCCTATAATGATATTTAAAGCCTTGAGATTAGGTGAGATAAGTCACCAAGAGAGTGAGTATGGATAGAAAAAAGAAAGAGGTGCATGGACTGTATCCTATGCCACTCCAAAGATTCTGAGGTTGAGAGATGAAGAATTATATGTTATACTATATCTATAATCTTTTAAACACTTTTAAAATATATTTTTATTGATTTCAGAGAGGAAGGGAGAGGGAGAGAGAGATAGAAACATTAATGATGAGAGAATCATTGATTGGCTGCCTCCTGCATGCCCCCTACTGGGGATGGAGCCCGCAACCCGGGCATGTGCATTGACCAGGAATTCAACCCTGACCTCCTGGTTCATAAGTCGACACTCAACCACTGAGCCACACTGGCTGGGCTATCCCAATAATTTTTTAAATTACATAATTAAAAAGTAATTAGCCCTAACAGGTTTGGCTCGGTGGATAGAGCGTCGGCCTTCGGACTGAAGGGCCCCAGGTTCGATTCCAGTCAGGGGCATGTACCTTGGTTGCAGGCACATCCCCAGTAAGGGGGTGTGTGGGAGGCAGCTGATCGATGTTTCTCTCCCATTGGTGTTTCTAGCTCTCTATCCCTCTCCCTTCCTCTCTGTAAAAAATCAATAAAATATATTTTTTTAAAAAATTAATAAAAAGTAATTAACTTTCAGAACACAGAGAATCCCAAAAGTGTGGACATTGGCCCATCTCCAGGACTAATTTATTTACACTGATATTTTGAACATGCTTTTAAAAAGTGTGTGTCTTGAAGTATTTAAGACATAAACCTGTGAGGAGGGAAACATTACTGGGTTATTACAAGAAATGACTAAATTGTCCAATTCATAAGATTATCACTAGTGAGGCTTTTGTTTATTCTCAGTTGATAAACAAAATGTGTTCACTGTGTGATGGGCTGATGCACGTGACAATGAAATATCATTAAACATTTGAGTTGCAATAGAGTAGAATTCTATTAATATGGGTAAAATTAGTGGGAGAGCTATTCTATTTCCAAGAAAGATAAATATAATATCATCATTTCCCTGTAGAGGAAGAAGAGGTGACATACACAGTCATTGATCAGTTCCAGCAGAAGTTTGGTGCTGCAGTAAGTTGCCTTCAATCATTCCCAGTATTGTCTCCATATGGGTATCATGTCTGTGTCTCACATATTTTTCTCTTATAAGATCATTGATGTTTTCTCTAATAATTCAACAAAATATCTGAGTGCCTGTTACATGCCAGGCCTTGTTCTGAGGTGTGGGGTAGAACAGTCATTAATTCCCAGCCCTCAAGAAGCTGGAAATTTTACATTTTGTGTAAGGAAATAAACAAATAATTGTATATAATCAGTGATGGGGTGTGTGTGTGTGTGTGTGTGTGTGTGTGTGTGTAGCAGACACCTGTTTTGGATCAGTTAGATTTTATGAGTTTAAAAAATATGATCCACTTTGTTCACTGGTAGCTATTTTACTTGTGTCATTCATGATGTTATAATTGCAAAATTAACTCCCTGGAGCATTCTATTTTCTTCTTTTTTTACCAGATGCTCCACATCAAGAAGCAAAGTGTTTTGAGTGTGGCTGCAGAAGGAGCTAATGTGTGTCGTCATGGGAAACTATGTTGGCTTCAGGTAAAACATAGTTATAAAAAACTTTTTATTTTGGAAATAATTATAAATTCACTTGGAAATTTATATTAATTGTCTTCGTTATATCACCCACATGTCACTGTACTAGAACTTGTTTGCAATGTCTTTCATTCTCTTACTACTCAGTTTATTCTTTTCAAAAGAAAAGAGCTTCTGTCTCTTTATAGATTCACTTTTATAATCATTACTAGGGGCCCAGTGCATGAAATTTGTGCGGGGGGTGGGGGGGGGGCGGAGTCCCTCAGCCCGGCCTGCACCCTCTTGCAATCCGGAACTGCTGGCTTCTAACCACTGGCCTACCTGCCTGCCTGATGGCCCCTAACCACTCGCTTACCTGCCTGATCGCCCCTAACTGCTCGCCTGCCTGCCTGATCGCCCCTAGCTGCCCATGCCTTGGCCCCTGTGGCAGTGGCTTCGTCCAGAAGGATGTCCGGAATGATGTCTGGAAGGTCGTTCAGCTGTCTGGTCTAATTAATATTATGCTTTTATTATTATAGCTTGCTGACTTACAGATTATGCTTGAGGTCTTTCCCAGTTCTATTCTCTTGCCTTAGCTCTATGAAGAGTTTCTCATCTTTCCTTTTGTTTGCTAGCTTTCCACAGTGGGTTTCTACCACATCATTTTTATTTTCCTGGACCTTAGGTGAGGGTCCCTACTATATCCAAAGAACTTTGTAATGAGCTTTGCATAGCTAGAGGTTGGGTAGCCACCTTTGGATCACACTCAGCAGCATCAGCATTTAAGGGGCTGAATACCCAACAATGTCTTCTATCCTTTGAGTAGAGACCTACCTCCAGCTACTGAAAAGATATTTTATTAGGATTGGCAGTCTGCTCTCTTGACCTTCTCTCACTGAAGTATTCATCTTCTCAAAGGGAAAGAAATGGAGATATCAAGCCCAGTTTTGCACAAGGATTAGATTGCCTCTCTTATTTCATGCACTTTCATGGCAAACCTTAGTTTTTAGGTGACTAGGTTTGAGTTAGCAGCACAAATGCAAATTTCTTTCTTTTAATACATATATTTTTATTGATTTCAGAGAGGAAGGGAGAGGGAGAGAGAGATAGAAACATCAATGATGAGAGAGAATTATTGATCGGCTGCCTTTTGCACGACCTCTACTGGGGATCGAGCCCACAATCTGGGCATGTGCCCTTGACCGGAATCGAACCCAGGACCCTTCAGTCTGCAGTCCGATGCTCTATCCACTGAGCCTAACCAGCTAGGGCTATTTTTCTTTCTTTCTTTTTTTTTTTTCAGATCATCAGCATAGTTGGGTTCTTTTTTTATTCTCCTGTTACATCTGTATTTATACCCTTTCTTGTTTTTATTTATTGATTTTGGACAGAGAGAGGAAAGAAAGAGAGAGAGAGAGATTTGTTGTTTCACTTATTTATGCATTCATTGGTTGATTCTTGTATGTGCCCTGACTGGGGATTGAACCCGCAACCTTGGTGTTTGGGATGACACTATAACCAACTGAGTTATCTGGCCAGGACCTATTTGGTACTTTCTTTTTTGTTGTTGTTGTTATTTAATACTTTCTTATATTTCCCATCTTTTTGCTAAAATTCTCATTGCATTTGTCCATTCTTCCCAAACTGGCTAGTATAACAATTACTCTAAATGTAAATGGATTAAATGCTCCAATCAAAATACATAGGGTGGCCAAATAGAAAAGAAAATCCTTACATATACTGTCTACAAGAGACTTACTTCAGAATGAAGACATACAGAGACTGAAAATAAGGGGATAGAAAAATATTTCATGAAAAAAAAAAAAGCTGGGGTAGCAATACTTATACCAGACAAAATAGACTTTTTAAAAATTTTTTTTATTTTATTGATTTGTTACAGAGAGGAAGGGAGAGAGATAGAGAGTTAGAAACATCGATGAGAGAGAAACATCGATCAGCCGCCTCCTGCACATCTCCCACTGGGGATGTGCCCACAACCCAGGTACATGCCCTTGACCGGAATCGAACCTAGAACCTTTCAGTCCACAGGCCGATGCTCTATCCACTGAGCCAAACCGGTTTCGGCAAAATAGACTTTTAAACAAAGTCTACAACAAGAGACAAAGAAGGGCCCAACAATCCCACTTCAGGGTATTTAATGAAGAAACCCAAAACACTAAAACGAAATGACATATGCATCCATTAGTTCATTGTAGCGTTATTTACAATAGCCAGGGTATGGAACCAATTTGAAGTGTCCATCAACAAGTGAATGGATAAAAAAGATGTGGTGCATATATATAATGGAATGTAACTCATCCATTAAAAAAAAAATAGCCCTAGCCGATTTGGCTCTGGATAGAGCGTTGGCCTGTGGACCAAAGGGTCTTGGGTTCAATTCTGGTCAAGTGCCCATACCTTGTTTATAGGCTCCTCCCTGGCCCAGGCCCTGGTCAGGGCGTGTGCAGGAGGCCACCAATCGATGTGCTTCTCTCCCATCGATGTTTCTTTCTGTTTTTCCCTCTCTCATCCACTCTCTCTAAAAGATCAATGGGAAAATACCCTTGGGCGAGGATTAGCAAAACAAAACAAAATAAAAAATCCTGCCATCTGCCATCTGTGACAACATGGATATTGCAACAACATGGAAGGTATTGTGCTGAGTGGAATAAGTCAGAGAAAGACAAATGCCTATGATTTTATTTGTATATGGAATCTAAAAAACTAAATGAACAAGCAAAATAGAAATAGACTCATTAAAAGAACCTTTTGACAGTTGTCAGATGGGAGAGAGGTTGAGGGAATGGGTGAGAAAGGTGAAGGGATTAAGAAGTACAAATTGGGCCCTGACTAGGTAGTTCAGTTGCTTAGAGCATCATCCTAATATGCCAACATTGCCGGTGGGTACCTAGCCAGGGCACATACAATAATGAATGCATAAATAAGTGGAACAGCAAATCAATATTTCTCTTTCTTCTCTCTTTTTAAAAATCAATAAATAAAAATAGGATGTACAAAATAGTTACGGAATAGCCATGGGGATGTAAAGTATAGTATAAGGAATATAGTCAAGTAATAACTATGTATGTTGTCAGATGGGTACTAGTTTTATCAGAGTAACCACTTAATAAGATATATAAATGTCTAATCACTGAATTGTACACCTAAAACTAATATATATGTGTGTGTGTATATATATATATATATCACACACATATATATATATCAATTGTAATTGAAAATATGAAATTTTTTAAAATTTAAAAAATTATAAGATGGGAGAAACCAAGATGGCGGCATAGGTAAACACCTAAAATTGCTGCCTCACACAACCACTTCAAAAATAAAACTAAAAGATGGAATGGACATCACCCAGAACCACAGGAAGGCTGGCTGAGTGGAAATTCTACAACTAGAAGGAAAGAGAAAAGCATACCGAGACTCAGAGGAGGTGCGGTGCGGAAGGAAAATACTAAGGTGCGGAGGTGCATGCGGAGTGGGCTGGCGGCTGAGGGCGCGGTTGTCTTTTTCAATCGGGAGGGAGTCTCAGGCTCTGAACTCCAGTTCTGGGCGAGTCTCTGGGGACCCAGACTCAAATGGGAGAAGCGGGACTGTCTGGCATCGGTCGGAACTCGAGGGCAGCTTTCTCTCCAAGGTACTTGCAGCAATTGCTGAGACACTGAGAAGCAGAGCCTCTGAAGGCAAGACTGAGAGCAGCCATAACTGCTCACTCCTCCTGCCCTGTTGATCCCTGGGACCCGCCCCGCCCAAGCCTTGCACGCAGGCATTTGCTGGATAGCCTCAGGCAGAGGCTAGATTAGCACCTCCCTAGAGATCAGGACAGAAGTTCTCCCACTGCAGACACAGCTGATTCTCACAGCCAATTGGCCTGGAGGTCAAATCAGCCCCCCCCCCCCCCAGTGTTACCTACAACAATCAAGGCTTAACTACAAGACTGTGCACAAAGACCACAAGGGGGTGCACCAAGAAAGCATAAAAAATGCGGAGACAAAGAAACAGGACACAAATGACAGAAATGGAGGAAAGCAAACTGCTGGATATAGCGTTCAAAACCACACTTATAAGGTGTTTCAAGAACTGTCTGGAAGCTGCCGATAAATTTAGTAAGGCCCTCGAAAAGACTGGTGAGACCGCTGATAAATGTAGTGAAATCTTCAAGAAATCTAGTGAGACCCTCGATGTTGTGATAAAGGACCAACTAGAAATTAAGCATACACTGACTGAAATAAAGAATATTATACAGAGATCCAACAGCAGACTAGAGGATCGCAAGAATCAAGTCAAAGATTTGAAATACGAAGAAGCAAAAAACACCCAACCGGAAAAGCAAAATGAAAAAAGAATCCAAAAATACGAAGATAGTGTAAGGAGCCTCTGGGACAGCTTCAAGCGTACCAACATCCGAGTTATAGGGGTGCCAGAAGAAGAGAGAGAGCAAGATATTGAAAACCTATTTGAAGAAATAATGACAGAAAACTTCCCCTACCTGGTGAAAGAAATAGACTTCCAAGTCCAGGAAGCGCAGAGAACCCCAAACAAAAGGAATCCGAACAGGACCACACCAAGACACATCATAATTAAAATGCCAAGACCAAAAGACAAAGAGAGTATCTTAAAAGCAGCAAGAGAAAGAAAGTCAGTTACCTACAAGGGAATACCCATACAACTGTCAGCTGATTTCTCAACAGAAACTATGCAGGCCAGAAGAGAGTGGCAAGAAATATTCAAAGTGATGAATGCCAAGAACCTACAGCCAAGATTACTTTATCCAGTAAAGCTATCATTCAGAGTTGAAGGTCAGATAAAGAGCTTCACAGATAAGAAAAAGCTAAAGGAGTTCATCACCACCAAACCAGTATTATATGAAATGCTGAAAGGTATCCTTTAAGAAGAGGAAGAAGAAGAAAAAGGTAAAGATACAAATTATGAACAACAAATACATATCTATCAACAAGTGAATCTAAAAATCAAGGGAATACATAATCTGATGAACAGAATGAACTGGTGATTATAATAGAATCAGGGGCATAGAAAGGGAATGGACTGACTATTCTTGGGGGGAAAGGGGTTTGGGGGATGCGGGAAGAGACTGGACAAAAATCACGCACCTATGAATGAGGACAGTGGGTGGGGAGTAAGGGCGAAGGGTGGGGTGGGAACTGGGTGGAGGGGAGTTGTGGGGGGAAAAAGAGGAACAAATGTAATAATCTGAACAGTAAAGATTTAATTAAAAAAAATAATAAGATGAAGGTAGCAAATCGTTGTTGAGACTCAAAGATTTTTTTATATCCTTTGGCCTACTTCTCAGGGCCACTTCTAGGAATCTGTCTTCAAAATATGAAGAAAAATATGTGAGTATCTATTCACCCTGGCATCATTTATGACAATAAAAATCAGAAACTACTTAAATAGTTAATAATAGAAGTTACAGTATATTTTATAACTTCTTTATGGATGCCAGAAATTGATGACAAATGCAATATAGAAAAATATTTGAAAGTTCATGAATGGAAAAAGCAGGCTATAGATTTGAATGCATATTATTGGAGCCATGTACGTTTTTTGCATATGAAATAAATGGGAAGGAGAATTGTATGGCATGCGTTGATTCACTGAAGAAATGTATAACAGCCATCCATGTGCCTGACTCTGTTCTAGTTGCATGTATACTGGTAAATTTGACATAATCTCTTCTCTCATAGAGCTTAAAGTCTAGCAGAGAATTATTTCCCAAACTTTTAGTGTCTATTCAGTTTTTATGTTTAAAGATGTAGGGGGAAAGAGCAGGGATTGATTATTTAGGTGTCAAATTCTAGCAAACATCATGAAGGATCTGAGAATGGGTACAGGTAGGCCTGGCAATTGTAGCTGTAACAATAGTTAGCTCCTGAAATGACAAAGATGGCATCAAAATGTCATGTGGTTGCCTCTCTAGACGTTCTTAGATCCTTTTTGGCCTTTTACTCTCTTACTCAGTTGATTATCCAGCTGTACAGCTTTTGTGGCTTTTATGAAGAAAAACAATCTAGAATTCTTTCGATTGTATAAAATTGATGTATAAAAAAAGTGTTCCTGCCATTTGTGCCAGTGTATTTGTTGCCTGTTTTATACTGATGAGGAACAGGGATCTTCTCTTATGAGTAATTTCATGTGATACCTAGCACATTCATGATTACTATGGAACTAAAAAAATAAAATGCATTTTGTGTTGTTAACAACAAAATATATTGTTCATATTCCCCTTAAACCTGTAATCCCTAGGGTATTAGAATGCTATAGGTGAGACTGGTAAAAATTAAAGTTGGTATAGTAAAAAGTGAAAGGCTAAATAACCAGATTGTCTGTTTCGTTTCTTTTGAAAAATCACAGTTATAGTGTCTTTTTAAAAAAAATTAAATATTGTTCAGATTATTACAGTTGTTCCTCTTTTTTACCCCCATAGCTCCCCGCCACCTGTTTCCCACCCCACCCTTTGCCCGTACCCCCACCCCAACTGTCCTCATCCATAGGTGTACAATTTTTGTCCAGTCTCTTCCCGCACCCTCCCAAACCCTTTTCCCCCCGAGAATTTGTCAGTCCACTCCCTTTCTATGCCCCTGATTCTATTATATATTCACCAGTTTATTCTGTTCATCAGATTTTTTTTTTTTTTAAATATGTGATTCTGTTTCTTTTTTTTTTTTTTTTTTAATATATTTTATTGATTTTTTACAGAGAGGAAGGGAGAGAGATAGAGAGAGCTAGAAACATCGATGAGAGAGAAACATCGATGAGACAGAAACATCGATCAGCTGCCTCCTGCACATCTCCCACTGGGGATGTGCCCGCAACCCAGGCACATGCCCTTGACCGGAATCGAACCCGGGACCTTTCAGTCCGCAGGCCGACGCTCCATCCACTGAGCCAAACCGGTTTCGGCTGTTCATCAGATTTTTTATTCACTTGATTTTTAGATTCACTTGTTGATAGATACGTATTTGTTGTTCATAATTTGTATCTTTACCTTTTTCTTCTTCTTCCTCTTCTTAAAGGATACCTTTCAGCATTTCATATAATACTGGTTTGGTGGTGATGAACTCCTTTAGCCTTTTCTTATCTGTGAAGCTCTTTATATGACCTTCAATTATGAATGATAGCTTTGCTGGGTGAAGTAATCTTGGTTGTAGGTTCTTGCTATTCATCACTTTGAATATTTCTTGCCACTCTCTTCTGGCCTGCATAGTTTCTGTTGAGAAATCAGCTGACAATCGTATGGGTACTCCCTTGTAGGTAGGTAACTGTTTTTCTCTTGCTGCTTTTAAGATTCCCTCTTTGTCTTTTGGTCTTGGCATTTTAATTATGATGTGTCTTGGTGTGGTCCTGTTTGGATTCCTTTTGTTTGGGGTTCTCTGCACTTCCTGGACTTGGAAGTCTATTTCTTTCACCAGGTAGAGGAAGTTTTCTGTCATTATTTCTTCAAATAGGTTTTCAATATCTTGCTCTTTCTCTTCATCTAGCACCCCCATAATTCGGATGTTGGTATGCTTGAAGTTGTCCCAGAGGCTCCTTACACTATCTTCGTATTTTTGGATTCTTTTTTTTTTTTTTTTTTTTTTTGCTTTTCCAGTTGGGTGTTTTTTGCTTCTTTGACTTGATTCTTGCGATCCTCTAGTCAGCTGTTGGATCTCTGTATAATATTCTTTATTTCAGTCAGTGTATGCTTAATTTCTAGTTGGTCCTTTTTTATATCCTTGAGGGTCTCACTAGATTTCTTGAGGGTCTCATTAAATTTATCAGCAGTTTCTAGAAAATTCTTGAAAAAACCTTATAACCGTGGTTTTGAACTCTATATCCAGTAGTTTGCTTTCCTCCATTTCTGTCATTTGTGACCTGTTTCTTTGTCTATGCATTTTGGCTGCTTTCCTGTGTTGATAGAGTGGCTTTCTGGGCTAGGTGTCCTATAGGGCCCAGTGGCTCAGCCTCCCCAATTACCTGAGGTGGACAGTCTTGGTGCACCCTTTTGTGGGCTGTGTGCACAGTTTGTTGTAGTTAAGCCTTGATTGTTGTTGGTATCACTGGGAGGAATTGACCTCCAGTCCAATTGGCTGTGAGAATCAGCTGTGTCTATGGTGGGAGAACTTCTTGCTGGAGACACCCTTCTGGGGCAAGACTTGCTTCAGTGGGGCTTTGGTGCTCACTGAGTCTGCCCCCTGAGTGTGTCTCTTATGGATCTGAGGAATTGTAATCTGGATGGTCCCACTCTGACCACTGGGTACACTGGCTCTTGAATCTCTAAGGAGGTGCTAATTTAGCCTCTTCCTGAGGCTACCCAGCAGGAGCTATGGAGAGATATGCAGATTCCTCTTCTTTGTTTGGGATTTGGAGGTGCCCAGATGAGGCCCAGCTGTGAAGCAATGCAAGCTGTTGTGGGGTCTTGGGCCTTCTTTTGGATGTTCTGGGTCTCTCTGACCCAGCTGCAGTTTGTTAGGTAATTTTAGATTGCAAAGGGCCAGGCCATTCATATGCAAAAGCCTCTGCACACAGGTAGGGTGGGGTGGGCTCTCAGGGAGTCAACAGGGCGGAGCAAACAGCTATGGCTGATCCTCAGTCCTACCCTAAGAGGCTAAGGTCTCAGTGTCCCGAGGTAATCGCTGCAAGCACCTCTGAGAGAAAGCCGCCCTGGAGTTCCACCCGAAGCCAGACAGTCCAGTTTCTCCCCGTATGAGTCTGGGTCCCCAGAGACTTGCCCAGAACTGGAGTTCAGAGCAGTTTGGAGCTTGAGACTCCTCCCGATTGAAAAAGACAACAGTGTCCTCAGTTGCCAGCCCTTTCCGTGTGCGCCTCCGTACCTCTGCACTTTACTTCCACACCTCCTCTGAGTCTCAGTGTGCTTTTCTCTTTCCTTCTAGTTGTAGAATTTCCACTCAGCCAGCCTTCCTGTGGTTCTGGATGATGTCCATTTTGTCTTTTAGTTGTATTCTTGAAATGGTTGTGCAAGGCAGCAATTTCAGGTGTTTACCTATGCCGCCATCTTAGTTTCCTCCTTTTTTATTTATTTATTTTTATGTAGGATCAATGTAAACCCATTTTTCTCTAAGAATATCGAATGCCTATAGTTTACTTTAAAAGTGAGGATGTTAAATATTTTATCACATGTCTTTCTTGATCTTCAGATCCCTTTCCCTAGTTCTTCCTTATTCTATAACATGTGTGACTGCATGATTTATTGTAGGTGGCCACAAACAGCCGTGTGTATTTATTTGACATTTTCCTTCTGGGAAATCGTGCTTTCAACAATGGACTGCAGATGGTATTAGAAGACAAGAAAATTTTGAAGGTGAGTGTGTAAGCTGATTGCTCTGCTAATAAAACTAGTAGCCAGGTTCTAATTACTCTGTCTTTGTCTTCTAATGCCTTAGGTTATCCATGATTGTCGTTGGCTTTCTGATTGCCTCTCTCATCAGTATGGAATTTTGCTGAATAATGTCTTTGACACACAGGTACATGCAGGGAAACATTGGATTTAATCTACTGTACGTAGCTCCTGTAGAAAATAGGCCTTGCCTGATGAGTTGTTGAAAGTCTTTATGTGTTGGTGCCCCATTCCTGTTCATTTCTCATGTAAGATGTTTGTACAATGTGTGGGATCATTTGGTGAACTATAAAATCACTGCAGAAAAGTTACTTGAAAGTATTTGGTATTTTCCCCTCATTTTGCTCCAGAATTTGCTCTGTACTCTAGTAAATAATATTCAGAAACAAACAATTTTGGGGTCATTCAGAAGTCTGAGATGAGACCTTTAGTATGAGGTGAACAATCACACCTCTGCCTTTACCACATATGTACCAGTTAAGGCTAGTGGCTAGTTGGCATCTAGCTCAGGGATGCAGGTTGTCCTAGATATGTGAAAAAGCCTCTTTTGGCACAACATAGCCTAAAGATATATGATTTTTCTCTGCTCTAAAGGACCCTAGATAAATGAGAAATTCTTAGACAATACTATCTCTTAGGGCTGGTTTGGCTGTGAGAGCAGGAAAACCATTCGTTTTCATTATGCTTTCTTAGGTTCTTCTAGGTTTATGCCAGTGAAACTGAAATATTGAATATATAAGACCTAGAGCCTTTGGAGAGGGGTTAAACTATTGAGTTGGCCAATTTTTAACAAATTCCTAAAAGTTTAATTTTTTTTGTTTTTTGGTGTGTGACTCAGTTTGCCCTGTATGTATCAGCTCATTTACATGTTCTTTTGGGCCTTCTTTCAGGATCTTTCACTCTATAGAGATTGCTTTTGTGCTTATTCCAAAACGTAAGAGAATTTCTCATTGTTCCCTTGAGGCCATCAGGCTTCTTGATTGTTTGTAATAAAGACACTGGCATATCTTTCCATACTTTTCTTCTCAGATTTTCATAGTGAAAGAAGCAGGTATTGAGAGTTTTTCTAATTTGTTTTCCTTAGCACAATGTATTAGTTTCCCGTTGCTGTTGTAACAAATTCAAATTTAGGGACTTAAATAACATTAATTTGCCCTGGCCAGTGTGGCTCAATTGGATGGGTGTTGTCCCATGCATGAAGAGTTGCCAATTTGATTCCCAGTTAGGGCACATGCCTGGGTTGTGTGTTAGAGTTTAGGATTAGGGTTAGGTCCCCAGTGGGGGGCATTCGGGAGGCAGTAGATTGATGTTATGCTCTCACATTGTTTCTCTCCCTCTCCCTTTCTCTCTTTAAAAATCAATTTTTAAAAATCTTTAAAAAAATACAACATTAATTTACTCTCTTACAGTTCTGGAGATTAGAAGTCTGAAATCATTTATATTGGGCTATAGTCAAGGTGTCAGCAGGGCTGGTTTCTTCTGGAGACTGATGGGGGAGAGACTGATTTCTTGCTTTTTCAGTTTTCACTTATATTCTTTGGTTTATTCTTATTGCATCTTCAAAGTGCATCACTCCAAAGTCTGCTGCCATAGTACAATCTCCTCCTGCTTCCCTCTCATAAGAACACGTGATTACATTCAGAGCCTATCCTGATAATTCAAGATAATATTCCCATCTCAAGATCCTTAACTTATTACAGCTTCAAAGTCCATTTGTTGCATAAAATAACATTCATATGTTCCAGAAATTAGGATGTAGATATCTTTGGTGGCCATTATATAACCTATCACACACAGGTAAATAATTATTTCACATTTTTAAAAATATGTTTTTTTATTGATTTCAGAGAGAGGAGGAAAGAGGGAGAGGGAGCTAGAAGCATCAATGATGAGAGAGAATCATCTATTGGCTGCACACTCAGGCATGTGCCCTGACCAGGCATTGAACTGTGACCTATTGGTTCATGAGTTAATGCTCAACCACTGAGTCATACCGTCAGGGCTTAATTCTTAAATTTTTAAGCTTTCCTTACCAAAACTTTACCACAGTTGCTAATCTATATATATAAAAAGCCTTAGCGACCATCCAACCATTTGACTGTCCAACCGGTAGCTCTGATACACAACGACCACCAGGGGGCAGACACTCAACACTCAACACAGGAGCTGCTGAGCTGCAGTGACTTGGCAGCTGCAGTTCTTGGGTTATGCACCCGGAACCAGAGAGGAGGGAGCTTGATTCCAGGGTGCATCACCTGAGAACTGCCCTCTCACAATCCGGGACACCACGGGGGATGTCAGAGAACTGGTTTCAGCCCAATCCCCGCAGGCCAGGCCGAGGGACCCCACCAGTGCATGAATCTGTGCACCAGGCCTCTAGTATGTAATAAAAATAATTCTGTTTTTTTGAAATCCTCACCTAAGGAGATGCTTAGAGAGAGAGAAAGAGAGTTTGCCGAGAGATTGCCTTCCATATGTTCCCCAACATCGGATCAAACCCACAACCCAGGTATGTGCCCTGATCAGGAATAGAAGCAGCAACTTTTTGGTGCACAGGATGACACTCAACCAACTGAGCCACTGTGGCCTGGCAAAATAATTCTTGAATTTTATCTTCCTTTCCCCATTTCTCAAAGGCACCAAAAAATAATAAATAGCCCTGGCTGGTTTGGCTCAGTGGATAGAGTGTCGGCCTGCAAACTGAAAGGTCCCAGGTTCGATTCCGGTCAAGGACACATGCCTGGGTTGGTGGCTCGATCCCCAGTGGGGGACTTGCAGGAGGCAGCCGATCCACCATGATTCTCCTCATGGATGTTTCTATCTCTCTCTCCCTCTTCCTTCCTCTCTGAAATCAATAAAAATATATTTAAAAAATAATATTAAATAACCGTAAGGCAGTCAAATAAAAGAAGTGGAAAAGAAAGTAGACAAGTACACATTAAAATTGGGTAATCATTTTTCTTTTTCTTTTTTCCTCCTACTTTTCAGAATAAGTTGACTGTACAACTTTAAATTTTCATGTGGGTCATTGGGGAAAATGGTATTTAAAGACATTTATCTAAATACTGTATACTTCTACTATTTCTGCCAGGACATAGCTCTGTGTATATATTCTACAGACTGGTCTGTTTGTCTTTTTTTAATGCCACAGGTGGCAGATGTCCTTCAGTTTTCCATGGAAACAGGCGGCTTTCTTCCAAACTGCATCAGTACCTTACAGGAGAGTTTAATCAGACATCTTAAAGTAGCCCCTAAATATCTCTCCTTTCTGGAAGAGAAACAAAAACTGATTCAGGTGAGTATTAAGGGATGTCCCATATGAATTAGTTTTTTTCAAGTGCTTTCTGAGTGAGGTCATTAGCATATTCTATAGAGAAATGACAGGTGCCATGTAAGCATATGAGCATTGCTCAAACCTTAGTTGTTCCAAATGGGAACAGTTCATTTGTGGGCTCAAGTGGATAAGAGCCAGGATCCAGATTTGTTGTCTGTCAATTTAAAAGCATTCTGAAATACGTTGTTAAACTGACAAGAGGGTGATTAGGTTGGGAATTTGGACTAAGTGATAGGACAAAAATAATTCCAATTATTTATCCCAAAGTAAGGTAGATTTTATTTAGCTCCTGATTGTCTCTCATGCTAAACTGGGATCTAGATCATTTGGCTATAGTTTTGGCCATGTAACCAAATCTGCTGCCTCCAGTTTTAAATAAGTCCTGATTTATCTTTCTCTCCTTCTCCCTCCTTCCTTCTTATCTTTTCTTCCTTCTTCCCTCTTCCCTCTCTCTCTCACTCTCTCTCTCTCCCCTTCCTTCCTCCCTCCCTCTGTCCTCCCTGAATCATAAAGTGTGTATGCGTGTGTGTACTCAGAAGGCTAGCCATAGTGTGAAAGTAGAAGGTAATAATTGAGGGAAATGACAGTAATAGTATTTTAAGTTAAACAGCACTTACATAAACAGTTATTTTCTTTCCTTACAGTTATTTTCTTTAACGTTGTGCTTACTATTCAGAGAAAATTGTTTTGATGTTTCTAGGAAAATACGGAAGTGTGGTTCACACGACCTCTTTCACCCTCCTTGCTAAAAATTTTGGCCCTAGAAGCCACCTACCTGCTACCCCTTCGCTTGGTACTCCTGGATGAGATGATGTCTGACCTAACCACCCTGGTAGATGGGTACCTAAACACCTACCGAGATGGGTCTGCAGACTGGCTGGGAGGCATGGAGGTAGGTGCAGCTCTTTGTGGCTGTGTCTTGAGGACTTCTGCTTCTGCCTTGTTCCTCATGGAGTGATATCCACAGCCACAGCAAATCTCACCAGGCAGACTTGGTGATAAATATTTTTCAAATATATTTTTATTGATTTCAGAGAGGAAGGGAGTAGGAGAGAGAGATAGAAACATCAATGATGAGAGAGAATCACTGATCAGCTGCTTCCTGCACGCCCCCTACTGGGGATCAAGCCCACAACCTGGGCATGTGCCCGTGACCGGAATTGAACCTGGGACCCTTCAGTCTGCAGACTGATGCTCTATCCACTGAGGCAAACCGGCTAGGGCAGTAATAAATATTTTTGAAGAGGCTATAGCTTGGGCTTAATCCATGTCCTTGAGCATTTTTCACAATATTATGTTTCCAATGAATATTTCTATCAAAGAATGATTAAATTTAAGATTTCATTAGTTATTTTTATGATGCCAGTACAATATGAGAAAAGTTATAGACCAGGAGTTGAGAAAATGTTGCCCTTAATGCCTAACTTAACCCCTGGCCTATTTTGGTATAGCTCACAAACTAAGAATGGTTTTTACAGTTTTAAGGGATTATTTAAAAAAATAAAAAAGTATGCAATGGAGTTGGTTTGTGGCATAGAAAGGCCAAAATATTTACTGTTTGACTCCTTACATAAAAAGTTTGCAGGTTGTTGGATTCTCCGTTAGAAATTCTGATGCAGAATCTTAAATACAATATTAGCATTTTGGGTATGAACCCCACTAGATGTATTTCACTTTTCTTTTAATGTGTTGCTGGATTCTATTTGCAAGCATAGTTTAATGTTAGGAAATTCTCCATTTTACTAGAGCCAAGAAAGTCTTATGACTATCTCATGAATGCCAAAAAAAATAAAAATACAACTTTTTTGTATTCTGCTCTCACTGTTTAATAGCAACAGCAGCAACAAAACATAAAAATCCTTGCATACCTTGTTTTACTGGATAATTTTAATGTTTTTTATTTATCATGTAAAACCAACGACAATTTTATAACTTTTTTGTATTTTGCTCTCACTGTTTAATGATAGAAACATTTATATTACTTTACATACAATATTAATTAAAGTTGGAATAGATACTTCAAAATGATAAAATTTTCTCAAGCAAGAAGACTACATAATGTTTAGGAACACTAAAAGCATTCCCATTAATATAAAGAAAAAAATTTAAATGGTGAATATTACCATTACTTTAATATTTTTAAAGCTTTTTTAAAATACATTTTTTTTATTGACTTTAGAGAAGAAGGGAAAGGGAGAGAGAGAAACATCAATAATGAGAAGTGTCTTCGATCGGATGCCTCCTGCTCGCCCCCTACTGGGGATTAAGCTCTAAACCTGGGCATGTGCCCTGACTGGGAATCAAACTGTGACCTCCTTGTTCATAGGTCCATACTCAACCCTGAGCCATGCCAGCCATACTACTTTAATATTTTTTGAAGTTATTAGGCAATGGAATTTAAAAAATATATAAACTATAAAAATTGAATAGGAGAAATTAGAATTATGACATGCCTATGATACACAGGAAACCTGAAGAGAATCAACTGAAAAAAACACTCCAAACAAAAAGAGAATTTAGTAAAGTGGTGAAAAAGTATGACATAAAAAATAGCTTTCTCATACCCATATACACAGCTAGAAAGTGAAAGAAAACATCAATTTGTAATTGTAACAAAAAAGGTAGATTACCCAGAAATAAGTCTAACAAGAAATGTGTAATATAGAGATGAAGAAAATGTTAAAATATTACTGAATGACATAAAAGAGAACTTGAATGGAAACACTAAATATTTTAGTTATCTACATTAACTTTTAAATTTAACTCTATTCCAATAAAAATATTAACAACAGCATTATTTAGGCAAACTGTGATTATAGAGTTTATAGAGATCAATAACCATAAGTAAAACATATAAGTCTAAACTGTCGAGTGTGTTTCCTTCCACGACCCGCGTGGAGTAGGGTTCGGTACCTGAAAGAGGAGCCGCACAACAAATGAGAGAAAAGACACAAGATAATTTTGCAATATCGGGGTCCAGGCGGGCAAGTCCAACTCAAGGAGAGGGACTTCCACCCATGCTCAGGCTGCTCCAATCTTTTATTGATCTGGAGTAGCCCTTAGGCAGGCGACCCCCCATTAACAGGCAGACTAGCCCATCAGCAAGGATTTACATAATAATAAATGGGGGAGTAGTTTCAGCTACCACTGTCTGGACAAACAGAGGTGGTGCCTAGCTCCGGGCTTTGCTAGGGCTTCAAAGGCACCCCGCCTAGCTCCGGGCTTTGCTAGGGCTTCAAAGGCACCCAGCCTTGGGGGGGGGGGGGGGGGTTTCGGGGAGTGCTCTGTCTATGCTTATCAGATAGTGAAGGCAATAAACAGTTTCCCACACTAAACCAAATAAAACAGTTTGTGACAGTACCGGTTTAGGAAGACCAGTGGAAAAGAATAGAAAACCGTGCTCGCTTCGGCAGCACATACACTAAAATTGGAACGATACAGAGAAGATTAGCATGGCCCCTGCGCAAGGATGACACACAAATTCATGAAGCGTTCCATATTTAAAAAAAAAAAAAGAATATAAAACCCAAAAATAGATCCAATTTATATCTGCCAAGATGGTTATGATAAAGGTAGACTTTTCAATCCATGAGAAAAAAAGATAATTATTCTGAAAATGACCTTAGGCAAATGACTAACCACTGTGGGGGAGGAGAATTCAGAACTGAATTGCTATCTCTTTCATTACACTGAAACAAACTCCATGGATTGAGTATTTTTGTAAAAAATGGAATTATAAAATTAGGGGGGGGAACAATTTAAAAAATAATCTTACATAAGGAATACTTTTCTTTCTTTCCCCGCAATTTTATTGAGAAATAATTGAAAAAATTAATGGTATATATTTAAAGTATACTAGTACATATACGTTGGTGGAATGCTTCTGAGATCAAGATAATTAACACATCCTTATCTCACATTGTTACTTAGTGTGTATGTATGCTGAGAATGCTTAAGATCTACTCTCAGCAAATTTCAAGTATACAATATCGAATTATTAGCTATAATAAATAACCATGCTGTACATTAATTAGAAACTACTTATAACTGAAAGTTTGTACCCTTTGAACTATCTCTCCATTTCCCCCAACTCCTGGCAACCACCATTCTATTCTCTGCTTCTATAAAATTTAGCTTTTTTTTAAAGATTCCACACATTTAAGTAATAGCATACAGTATTTGTCTTTCTCTGTCTGGCTTATTTTACTTAGCACAATACCCTCCATGTTCATCCACATTGTCACAAATGGCAGGATTTCCTTCTTTTCATTGTATGTACATATAGACACATCTATTTAATTCATTCATCCCTTGATAGACACTTAGGTTGTTTCCATGTCTTAGCTATTGTGAATAATGCAGTGTTAACAAGATTGCTGATATCTCTTCAAGACAGTGATTTTATTCCCTTTGGATATATACTGGATGTGGGATTGCTGAACCATATGGTAATTTTAGTTTTAATTTTTTGAGGAACTGCCATACTGCTTTTGATCATGGCTATACCAATTTACATTCCCATGAACACTGTATGAGAATTCCCTTTTCTCCACATACCACTCCCCCCCAAGCACTATTATCTCTTATCTTTTTTATAATAGCTATCCTAACAGGTATGAGGTGATATCTTATTGTGGTTTTGATTTGCATTTTCCTGATGATTAGTGTTATCAGAGCATCTTTTCATATACTTACGGCCATTTGAATGCTTCTTTGGGAAAATGTCAATTCAGGTCTTTAGTTCATTTTTTAAAAATCCTCATCCAAGGATATGTTTTATTGATTTGAGAGAGAGAGAGAGAGAGAGAGAGAGAGAGAAGAAAGAGACATAGATCAGTTGCTTCCCAGACTGGGATTGAACCTGAAACCAAGGTATGTGCCCTGACCTGGAATGAAACCTACATGAAACCTACAACCTTTTGGTGTACGGGACAACTAACTGAGCCTCCCGGCCAGGCTCTTTGCTCATTTTTTATTTGGATTATTTGCTCTTTTGCTATGGAGTTGTAGGTGTATGTGTTTTTCTATGCAACAAATACATACTCAGAACTCTTAAAAATTTAATAAATTTGACTTACAATTTTTTTGTATGGCGAAAAGATAGTGAACAAAGGCAAAGGCAGGCAACCTGGGAAAATTATTTACCTCCTGCAACAAAGAGGGCATTTTCTATTTCTTTAAAAAAAATTTTTTTTTATTGATTTCAGAGAGGAGAGAGAGAGAGAGAGAGAGAGAGAGAGAGAGAGAGAGATCAATGATGAGAGAGAATCATCGATTGGTTGCCTCTTGCACACTCCTTACTGGGGATCAAGCCCACAACCTGGGCATGTGCCCTGACCAAGAATTGAACCGTGACCACCTGGTTCATAGGTCGACGCTCAACCACTGAGCCACACCAGCTGGGCTCACTGTATAATCCTGATACATACACACACAAAGACACACACGAAACTGGATTCAAAATATTTGTTACTTGAAAAGTAGTACTATTACAGTTAAAGACACTAGAGGGTACTATAAGAATACATTTGGATAGAACTTCACTTGCCAAATACTGTTAAGTATAGTAGAAGTGATTTGAAGGCATGATCAGAAGTTTAATTATAGATTTGTGTTCAATTTCTTTTCTTAGCCTACGTGTATGGAACTTCCAGAGGAACTGCTTCAACTCAGGGACTTCCAGAAGCAGCGCAGAGAGAGAGCTGCAAAAGAATACAGGATGAATGCACAGGGCCTCCTCATAAGGACACTGCTACATCCAAAGAAATCCGTGACAGAGACAGCAAAGAAAGAGGAAAAAGTAAGGGGTGTCTTACTTTGTGAAAAATCTAGGCTAGATAAAGCTCCAAGTTTTACATCTCATGAGAATGTAAATTTGCTGAAAGAAGAAGCTGAGAGTAAACAAATTACAACAGAGCCTCCACATTTACCTCACATAGAGCAGGAAGTCCATGAGGATTCCAGTAACAAAGTCGTTTGCCCTGAATCAGAGGGGTTGGAGGACCAGAGAATAGGCCAGAAAGAACACCTTATGATACCCAAACAGGAATTTCAAGCAAGTTTATCTCTGAAAGAGGAGATAGAACAGCTACTAATGGTGGAAAACAAGGAAGATCTAAAACGCACAAAACAAGATGTCTCAGTGTCTCCTTCCCTTCCTCAGGAAACCAGAATGACTCTGAGTGACACCTTTCATCCTTTTAGAAAAGCAGTGTTTCCCACACTTCCTCCCTGTCCAGCTTTGGAGGATACTGATTCCTGGATAAATTCTTCTTCAAATCTGCCTTAGAGATCTAAAATTTGTTCTTTAGGCCAAAAAGTGGCTCATTTTCCCCTACCATCAGGACTTTCCTAAGTGCTTAAATTTCTTTTCTTTTTTAAAAATATTTTTATTGATTTCAGAGAGAGGAAGGGAGAGGGAGAGAGAGACTGAAACATCTATGATGAGAGAGAATTATTGATTGGCTGCTTCCTGCACACCCCCTACTGGGGATTGAGCCAGCAACATAGGCATGTGCCCTTGACCGGAATTTAACCTGGTACCTTTCGGTCTGCAGACTGACACTCCATCCACTGAGCCAAACAGGCTAGAGCTAAATTTCTCATATTATAAATTTAATTATGCCTCGGTCATAGGCTTCTGCGGAAATTATATCCTCTTGCTTATTCCTGGGAGTGAATAAGTTAAATAATAGAAGAAATAAATTTTCTGATTATGTCACTGGGCAGAAGAAATGTTCCCAGTGGCCAGAGTGAATTATTTCTCATAATTTGAATTTAGAGGATTTGAAGAAGGGAGAAATCTTGGGTTTAATATCTTGAAAAATCTATACTTTTAAAATTTTGTTGTGTTTTTTGGTTTGAAGAGTGTTGGTAAAACTCTTACCTATAAGTTTAAAAATAATTGGTACCTGACAACTTTATTAGTTCTTTTTGCCTTTTCTTTCTTTTTTTTTTATGCCCCATAATTCTTTTTAAAAATTATTAATTAATTTAGAGAGAGAAGAAGGGAGAGAGAAAAAAACATTATTTTGTTATTCCAATTTGTGCATGCATCGGTTGATTCCTGTATGTGCCCTGATGGGGGATTGAACCCGAAACCTTGGCAACACTCTAACCAACTGAGCAACCTGGCCAGGGCTCTTTTACCTTTTCAAAATATTTAACTTGTCAATTATACTTCAATAAAGCTGAAAAAATATTAACTGTTTTTGAATTTTGAAAGTTTTGTCTGTCTTATGTCATAAACAAACAATAGTTAATGTTATTATCAGAAGCACTATCCCAGTTTTAATTTCAGTCCATTTACTTTTAGGAGATTTTGTCTATTTTCTAATAAAGCTAGGGCTTCCTTTGAGTATGTCTGTTATGTAAACATGAAGTTTGATTCTACTCTATTAGCTTGGAATTGGTATATTTTCTAGGCTGAAAGGAAGGCAGCTTGTACCAGGCCTTTTATTATATTGACTAAAGGCCCAGTGCATGAAATTCGTGCACTGGGGATGGGGGGGGGGCACCCTTAGCCCCGCTTGTGCCCTCTCACAGTCTGGGACCCCTCGGGGGATGTCCGACTGCTGGCTTAGGCCTGACTGAGGACTGGCTTAGGCCTGGGGGATTGGGCCTAAGCTGGCAGTCGGACATTCCTCTCACAGTCGGGGATCCCTCGCTCCTTACTGCCTGCCTGCTCGCTCCTTACCGCTCAGCTTGCTGCTTCTTAGCGGCAAGCTCCTTACTGGTTGGCTCGCTGCTCCTTAGCGCTGCCATGGAGGCGGGAGAGGCTCTTGTCACCACTGCTGCACTCACCAGCCAGCCGTGAGCCCAGCTTCTGGCTGAGCAGCACTCCACCTGTGGGAGTACACTGACCACCAGGGTCAGCTCCTGTGTCGAGCATCTGCCCCCTGGTGGTCAGTGTGCATCATAGTGACAAATCATTCTGCTTGTTCAGCCGTAATGGTTGCTTAGGCTTTTTTTATATGGACTAGAGGCCTGTTGCACGAAGAGATTCGTGCAATAGGCCTTCCCTTTCCTTGGCTGCTGGCACCAGTTTTTCTCTTGCACCCGGGACCCAGGCCTTCGCTCTGGCTGGGCTCTGGACAGAGCCCCCCGCCCCAGCCATCAGGCTTCGCGGCTCCGCTGATCCCGGGGTGGTGAGGCCTCCCGGCTCCGCTGATCCCAGGGGCGTGAGGCCTCGTGGCTCCGCTGATCCCGGGGCTGTAAGGCTCCGCTGCTCGGCAGGCTTCAGGTACGTTTGGCTTCGCTCCACTACTTGGAGACTAGTATGCAAATTAACCACCAACAAAGATGGCAGTTAATTTGCATACTAGTCTCCAAGTAGTGGAGCGAAGCCAAACGTACCTGAAGACTAGTATGCAAATTAACTGCCATCTTTGTTGGTGGTTAATTTGCATATTGCCCTGATTAGCCAATGGGAAGCGTAGCGAAGGTACGGTCAATTACCCTTTTTGTCTTTTATTAGATAGGATACTTGTAAGTTGCTCACATTCTTTTGTGTACAATAACCAGTAAACCTGTTTTTACATTAGGTTATCTCTTACATTTCTTTCTTTTAAAAAAAAAAAATATTTTATTGATTTTTTACAGAGAGGAAGGGAGAGAGACAGAGAGTTAGAAACATCGATGAGAGAGAAACATCGATCAGCTGCCTCCTGCACAACCCCACCGGGGATGTGTCTGCAACCCAGGTACATGCCCTTGACCGGAATCGAACCTGGGACCTTTCAGTCCGCAGGCTGACGCTCTATCCACTGAGCTAAACCGGTTCCGGCATCTCTTACATTTTTTAATTGGGTCAGGGTAAATAAATTGGAATATGTCTGGATTTATAGGTTCAGAGTCCAGTTTAGAAATATGTAATTATATTTTTACAGGTCTCTATTATTTATTTCACTTAGGGACAAGCTATGATTAGGAACATCCTTGTCTGCACCAGCTGATTCAATTATGAATTTCACTGAAAGCAGAGCTATGCCCTTCCAAACTCCAGAGCTCAGATCTAGTCTAAGGTTAAGATTAATTAAGGCTAGTGTTGGTCAGTAGTTAGGGCATCAGCCCTCAAACCCAAGCATCATGGGTTCAATTCCCAGTCAAGGGCATGTACCTGTGTTGTCAGTAAGGGCTCCTGCGGGAGGCAACACAGTATTTTGACTCCCAGACTAAATGAATCCTTGGGTTTCATTACAGTATTTTGTCAGAGAAACACTCATAGTCCTGAAATTGCATTTTTCTCCACATCCTTATCTAGTGTAAAGTGCCTACCTAAATTCCATATGTACTGTCAGATCCTACCTGTCCTTTGCTGGATAGAGTGTAAAAAATCTCTAGGTTGTTCAAGCCCTGTTGCTAGTACTCTGTACCATTACTCAGATATCTAAATTTTGCCCAGAATTTGGGGAAATGCTGGGTGTTTATCCCAACCCATAGTTGAGTTCTTTTTTTTTTTTTTTAAACATATTGAGTTTTTTTTTACAGAGAGGAAGGGAGAGGGATAGAGAGTTAGAAATATTGATGAGAGGGAAACATTGGTCAGCTTCCTCCTGCACACCCCCTACTGGGGATGTGCCTGCAACCAAGGTACATGCCTTTGACCGGAATCGAACTCAGGACCCTTCAGTCTGCAGACCAAAGCTCCATCCACTGAGCCAAACTGGTTAGGGCTCGAGTTCTTTACTGACTGTATTTTTCTAGTTGAGAGCTCATAAACCGTACTGCCTGCTTTCTCAAACTCTTGGGGTTTTGCTTTAGTCTACAAAAATTTCCTGAATCCTACTCAAGTCTGACCTTCCCATACATGAACTACAATTAGAGATTCTTACAAATAATCTGACCTTTTTAGTTTGGGATTTAGAAAACAGAGATAAATGACTTCCTTGAACAAAAATGCACCACAGGGAATAGAACCAGTGTTTCTTGCTACTTGGTCCATTAAATGTTCTTTCAACTATAGTAAGAAAAATCACTGCAGCAGCTTTGCCTCCAGTCTGGCTGTGGGCTCGATAAATCTTAACACAATAGAATTTTAACTCACTATTGGTGTGTCTCATTGTTTTGACACAAGGTAAGTGCCAACAGCAAACTGAGATGAGGCCTAGGGCAAACCTAGGGTGCTTGGGGGCGAATAGCTAAGAATACTTATCAAAAAGGCATTTATAGCCCCACTGGTGTGCTCAGTGGTTGAGCGTCCACCCATGAACCAGAAGGTCACGATTTGATTCCTGGTCAGGGCACTTGGCTGAGTTGCGGTTTGATCCCCAGGAGAGGGATTGCAGGAGGCAGTGGATAGATCAGTGATGGCGAACCTTTTGAGCTCGGCGTGTCAGCATTTTAAAAAACCCTAACTTAACTCTGGTGCCGTGTCACATATAGAAATTTTTTGATATTTGCAACCATAGTAAAACAAAGATTTATATTTTTATATTTATTTTATATATTTAAATGCCATTTAACAAAGAAAAATCAACCAAAAAAATGAGTTCGTGTGTCACCTCTGACACGCGTGTCATAGGCTCGCCATCACTGGGATAGATGATTCTCATCATTGATGTTTCTGACTCTTCCTCTCCCTTCTTCTCTCTGAAATAAGTAAAAACATTTTTAAAAGGTATTTATACAGTTATAAAAATAAAATACCTTACTTAAAATTTAGAAAATAAAAAGAGAAAAAAGATTTAACTATCATCCCACATTATACAACCCTTCCTAGCATTTTGGTATTTTCTTTCAATTTTCTCATTCTCTCTCCACATACACACATATCTGAAATATAATCACTACTATACAGTAAATACAGTTAAAAGTGCTTTTTACATCATGTATTTTTCCTTTTTATAATCCTAACAACTAGCATATTTAATAGATTTTAAAAAATATTTTTATTGATTTCAGAGCGGAAGGGAGAGGGGGAGAGAGAGAGAGAGAGAGAGAGAGAGAGAAACATCAATGATGAAGAGAGAATCATTGATCGGCTGCCTCCTGCACGCCCCCTACTGGGGATAGAGCCTGCAACCCAGGCATGTGCCTGTTGACGAAAGGGGCCACATGCTAACCTGACAAGCTCAGGGGAGGCCTGCATGGCAGTCTTGCAAACTCAGAGACCTAAAGTAACCACAAAGGATGGTCTGAAATTAAACTTTAACTAAAAGCAGTCATGGTGGGTAGTTACATCCTAGGCCGGTATCTTCACTGACAAGGTCAATCTTTACCTTAACTGAGCCTATCTGTCTTTTTGCATCTATAATAACATACCCTTTGAAATGTCTGGGTAATTTGTAACTTCCCTTTTTCTGGACCCCTTGGGGCACAACCTAATGTGCTGGGCGCCAGGACAGATACCACAAATTCCTTCATTATCCTGTTTGTTTGGTGTTTTTTTTGTTGTTTTTTTTAAAAATATATTTTATTGATTTTTTTTATAGAGAGGAAGAGAGAGGGATAGAGAGTTA